GGGGCCATGCCAAAGATGGCCCTCAGCAGCCTGTGGGGCGTGTCCAAGGCCTGACTGCCCCTCATCCCACACCCCATCCCCGGCCAGAAGGCACTGGTCAGCCTGTTGGTGAGCACCCCCCCCCATATATATCCTGGGTTGGAGCTGCCTTCCCACAGAGGTGGCCCTGCTGCTCCCCAGCCCTGTCCACGGTCTTTCTGTGCTCCAGCTGCTCCTCATCCTTAAGCCTCTCACCCAGCCTGAGCCCTGGCTCTTTAGCTCAAAACTAGAAACAGCCACACATTAGCCCAGGGGTCAGGGCTTTGGGAGAATGCTCACTGTTCACTTTGGAAATGGGTCTGCCTGCCAGTTAGGCAAGAGGTCCCTGGGGGGCTGGGATGAGGGCCCCTCTGCCTGGCCCTGACCCTGGCCCCACCCCCCCAGCCAGACGGGTTGCAGAGCCTCCCACCTTCTTGGTACCTGCCCCCGCTGCCCCCAGTGGGGCTAGGAGGACCTGCTTGGATTTTCCTGCCAGGATGGGGCAGGGGCAGCTGCCAGTCCGCTGGGGACTACTTCCCCTTTAGGGATAAGCACCAGAAGCTAACGCCAGGAAAAGAGGCTTTAAAATAAGGTGGTCAGGCCTGCACTATTCTTAGCCCCAGCCCCTGGCGTGCTGTGTCTCTGTGGAGTGGAGTTCTGGGGGAGGCCTCCTCCTGGGATAGGCTGCAGGGGCTCGAGGGTCCTGGGCTCACCCCAGAAGGAGGGAGGTGATGGTCACTACTTTAGTTGTCTTGTCCTCATCAGCCTAAGCCAGAGCTGGATCAGGGTGCCACTTGGGAGAGCTAACCATGCCTCTGTGTTTCCCCAGCAGACGAATGTGAAGCATGGGGGGTCCCAGGGGCTCACGGGAGGACTCCAGACCTTGGTGGCTTCCAGGCTAAGGGTCTGCAGATTCCCATGCTGGTGCTTCATAAGGAGCTGCCTCTCCTGCAAGTCAGGTCACTGGGCCCCGAGACTCAGCAAGTCCACCTCACAGCCTCACTTCTAGCCCCTTTTCGTCCTGACCCTACAGTTCAGCCAGACCCTCTGTCCTGCATTCCTCCTCCCCTCCCCTCTTTGCCTGGGCACATGCTGGTCCCCCTGCTTGCTCAGTAGGCCTCCCTGCTCCGTAACCCTGCCAGCTCCTTCTCTTCCATCCTTCAGTGTGAGCACTGCCCCTGCCTCTCCCTGGGGGACCCCCAGCACTGAGAAAGCATAACCAGAGTCTCCGCCATCACATGGATTATCATCACTGTCTACCTGTCTGCCTCTCCTTGGCTGGGGACTCCTTGAGGACAGACAGCATGACTACTGAGTGGCCTCTGAGTGCTTGCTGAATGAAAAGAATGGCAGTCCATTTATCAGGGTCATGCAGAAAGGGGTGCAGCTGACAGAGGCCCAGGAGGCGGGACGGAAGGCAGTCAGTGGAAAAGCTGTAGCTCAGCTTGTCAGTCCTGGTGACAGAGGCCAGTGTCCATAGGGGAGGGAGGGGTTGGTGCCAGAGTCCCTGAGAAGGCTCCCAAGACCCTGGGGCTTGGGGTGGGCCTTGCCGTTATTCAGACCTTTGGGAAGAGGACGGCTCATGTTTCCTTTTTGACTGAGTCCCCCCCCCCTTGAGAGCTGCAGAGTTAAGGAAGCTGGCTGCCTGTTCCCCATAATCTGGCCAGACCCAGGGGCCAGGGGACAGGAAGCACCAGAAGGGAGGGAAGCCTGGTCCTGCTCTGCTCTTCCCAGCACCACGTGCCCCCCCTCCCGCCCACTGCTGGTCTGAGCCCATCAAACACTGCCTGACCACAAGTGGGGAGAGAGAGGCTCAGAGAGTGAATTTTCAGAAGTTGTACAAAGCTGGGATTTGACCCCAAGACTCAGGCCAGGCATGGTGGTCCAGAGGGCAGTCCCGGGCCCCCACCAGCCTGCTGCTGCCTCCTTTCTCTGCTCTGTTCTGCTTCAGTCCCTGTGCCCTCCCAGCCTGGGTCCCTCCTCTGGGGTCTCTCCCAGCGTGCCCCTGTCATGCCCCTGTGCTCCTTCCAGAGGCTGCAAGCTGATGTCAACCCCTGGGACACTCTTCTTTTAGACTGCTCATGCCCAGGAAACCCCCCCACTCCTCATGGCCCTAAGCTCAGAGGTCTCTTCCTCCATCCCTGATGCCCCCATGTAATGTAGTGTGCCCTGGATGCTGGGGGGCCCGGCCCCAGTAGAACCTGCACTGACCAGTTCTCCCTGCTAGCTGAAGACCATGGAGCTGGGCAGGGCATTGGTAGCCAGAAAAATTCACATCAGGTCGATCTGCAGTGCTGGCCGCAGGGGCTGGGGTGACAACTAGGATAGTTTGGGATTGGGGACACAGCGCAGGCTGACAAATTCCATGACAAGCCCTGTGACTCAGGCACATTCACATCCCTGCCACTTTGCACACGTCCTAGCAGCAGCGCTCCCCTCCCGCCCCCAGCTCGGAGATGCTTCTGGGGTGCGGGCTGCCCCACCCATGCATTGGGGGCTCTGGGAAGGGAGCACGTGGGCCTCAGGAGAGACCTGAGTCGGTGCTCAGCAGACCAAGTCCTGAGGCCAAACTCAGGGCAGCTCAGCCATGTGGGGCCGGGTGCCTCGGGGGTGGGTGTTGGGCTTCAGTCCTCATCTTGGCCTCTCTGCTCTGAAGGACCTGAGCCCCACAGGGCCTAGGCCTGGGGCATCTAGTGCCTCAAACACTGCCAAGGGAAGGAATGTGGCCTGAGCCCACCCTCTGCAGCTGGTCTGGCTAAGGCCCCTCCCGGGCCACTGGTAAGGAAGGTTCTGGGCCACCCACTTACCCCATAGTGCTTCCTTTGCTGCCACCGTCGCTCTTCCCCTGAGCCAGCCCTCTGAGACACAGCAGCAAGCTCCCACATGTGACAAGATGGGGGCTGTGGAGAGCTGACAGTGCCAGCCAAGGAACCCCTTCCCCGACCTTTAGGTGAGGTGTCTCCCTAGCTGAGAAGGCCTGCCTGAGGCCCAGCTGTCTTGAGTGTCCCAGGTGCCCTGACCTCGGGGCCACTTGTTTCCTTTTGAGCAGTGGGCAACAGGACTCATGCAAGTGCCCTGGAAGCGGGTGTGAGCTGCAGGGTGGCATCTGTCCCATGAACCTCCCCAGCGTCAGAGGTGCCCATAGGCCTCCCAAGGCGAGGGGTGGTAGAGGTGGGGGAGCCAGGCCAGGCTGTGGACGCGGCAGGCACTGGGCCAGATGAATCCTGGGGTCCCTGAGGGCTGAACAGCTCTCCCTGCTCTGCCAGTGTTTATGACTGGGGCTTGAATTTCCCTCCTCCCCAGATAGCACTCGGTCCAGCCCTATGGCCACCTCCTGCCAAGCCAGTGGGTCTCCATCAGGCCTCTGCCCTGGCCTGGGGGACCCCAAACCTCTCAGGGTCCTGAGCTAGCTCAGGCCTTCTGCTCCAAGGCTGCTGTCCAGTATCTCTCAAAGGAGTCTGCTGGAAGAAAGGGCCCCATGCCCCACGTGGCCCCAGGGAGGCCTGAGCGGACCCTGGTCAGTGGGCCCTCGGAGGTGGCAGGTGAAGCAGCATCCGCCATCTGCCCTCTCCGTGGAGGGAAGGCTTCCTGTGCAGAGGCTGGGAGGGGCTGGAGGAGTGGCCACTGGGCTCCAACAACCAGGCCTTCTCTCCTTCTGGGGTCATGGGTGGGGACTCTCCCCACCCACTCAAACTCCCAGAAGAACAAGACCCTCCCCCAGCAGTCTCAGGGTGCCCAGTTCTCCTTCTGGGGCCCTTCAGCCTTGGACATCGCCCAACCCCTCCTCCAGAGCCAGGCACGTGGCCAGCCCCCTCCCTTCGCCTCATCTTCCCACTGTGGCAGCTCCAAACAGGGCCAGGTTCAGGTGTCCAGAGGCAGATCAGCCACCGGGCCACACGTTCACAAGCTCCTCCTGGAGTGTAATTGTATGTAACACCTGTCTCACAGGGGCAGGGGCTAATGGTGCTGAGGTGGGGAGCCCAGAGTGCAGTGGGGTCCAGGACCTCACCCAGCCAACCCAACTGGGGTCCTGCAATTCGGCTTCCACAGGGGCACAGCACAGTGGCACCGACCCCCAGCCTTGGTCCAGTTGCCATGGGGATCGGGCCTCGACCAGGCCAGCCACTGGGGTGAAGGGCTGCGGGAAGGCCTGGCAGGGCTGGAGGCCCAGCTGCAGCAGCCAGGGAAGGGGCTGCGGTTACGTAAGCCCTCCGGGGGTGGCGGCGACGCTGTCCCAAGCCCCCTCCCCGCGTCGTCCTCATTGTGGCCTCCGCGGTGTTGTGGCCTGGCCCCCTACCCGCCCTGTAAGCCTGGCCCGGCACACACACCTTACCTGGGCCCGGGCTCCTGGCTCATGCCACGCTGTCCACCGGGCGTCCTCCCGTCATGGGGAGCCCGGCATGGGCACCGGCGAAGCGGGGAGGCGGCCGAGGTGCTGGTCTGCCAGGCAGGGCCCGGCCGCGCCCCGCGCCCGGCCTGGCCGGGCCCCCTCTGCTGCGCCTCGAAGAAGAGCTCCCCGGTGGGAGAGGATCGGCCGCCCCGAGCCTCCCACCAGGGAGGCTGAGGCTGTGCCCAGATAAATAAGGCCGCTTTGCAGGGAGCCGGGCGGGCGCCTCCTCCCTCCCCTCGCCCTCCTCCTCCCCGCCCTCCTCCTCTGCCCTCCTCCCCGCGCTCCTCCCCGGCCGCCGGCGGCGCCGCGCCCGCCCCCCGCCCGGCCTTACGCGCCGCTCCCTCGCGCGCCCCCGGCGCCGGTAGCCAATCCGGGTTGGCGAGCCCGGGCGGGGGCGCTGAGGATGCTGAGCCCCGCCGCGCCCTACCGCGCGCACAGCGCGCTCCCGCGGCGGCGCGCACGGGCACGCGCCAGTCCGGACCTCACCCCCGCTTCCCCTCGCCACGGGCGCCCGCACAATAACAAACCCTGGCGCACGGCGGGTCGGGGAGGGGAGAGGAGGGCAGGGGAGGGCGGGAGAGGGAGGAAGGCGAAGGAAGGGCTGGGCGCGCAAAGGGAGAGCCGGGTGGAGCGAGCCCTGCCCTTTGCGGAGCTGTGGGGACCCCGAATCCTGAGGGGCGGAGAGGACTCGAGCTCTTGGGCGCCGGCTGTCCGACCCTCCCCCTCCTGGCCCCTCTTGCGGAGCCGGTGGCCAGGCCCCCTGAGCGGCCCTCGCATCTCCCGCGCACCTGCGGGGTGCCAGGCCCAGGAACCTCCCTCAGTGAGGAGCGCAGTTGCACACCCGCAGAGCCGAGAAACAAGAGACCAGTAGATCATTTCCGAGAGTGACGAGTGCGGTGAACGTTCAAGAGGGTCACGTGATGGTGACCGCGCGAGGTTGGTGGTGGGAGTGGGGCTCCTGAGAACAAGACGCTTAAACTGAGTGCCCCAAGGGTGAGAGGGCAGACGAAGTTGTTCAGGAAGGGATGTGCAAAGGTCCTGAGGCCTAAGGAGCCAGGCAAGTTCCCTCTGGAATGGGTTGGAGGCCTCGGTGGTGGCAGCTTTATAGGGCAGGCTGGGTGGGGGGCAGTGGGGTCTGGCGGGAGGGTGTGGAGGGCTCTGTCTGGGCCACTGGGGATGCCAGGCCTCCCAGCAGGCTCAGGGCAGAGGACAGAGGCTAATATTGCCCATCCTGGGACCTCCTGGGAGTGGAGAAGGCAGAAGGACCAGGTGCAGGGAGAGCAAAGCTGGGTTTTCACACCAGGGAAAGAGCCTCAGGGCAGAGAGGCAGCACCCCCCCCACCCCAGAGCCTTAACAGAAAATGAAACTAGCTGTTGTTTGCAACATTTTGACTGGAAGCGGGACCAGTGGGGCTGGTGTGAGGTGAGGGCAGTGGAGGGGGAGCAGCCTGGCCTGTCCCTGGCTGGTTTGGGGGTGCCACTCTGGCTGTGTGTGGGACGCTGGTGGGGGTGAAGGCAGCTCTTCTGTGTGGCAGGGACTGAAGAGTCACCATCCTGCTGACACTGATCAAAGGGGGAGGCTTGGTGGGACAGGCAGGGGGTGCGTGAAGACTTCGGGGTGACCGGGAGAGTGCTGTCTGACCCATCGGGTAACGTCCAGTGTGTGCTCAGCCTCCACCCCATGAGAGCATGCGTGGGTCGGCATGGACCCCGATGTGGACAGTGCCCTGACTGGTAGGCAGGACTTCACTTTGCACTTTGAGGGGCTCTTGCCCCTCAGCAGTGCCAGGGTCCCAGGCAGAGAGCAAGTTATGCCCTCAAAGGGGCCCGAGAGGCCACCTGCCTTGGGAGAATCTGAGCGAAGAGCTCTTGCTCAGAGGGACATGCATACTCTGTGGGGGCCTCCTGAACACCTGTGCCCTGCTCACCTCTGCCCCCACCTGTTCTCCCAGGTGCAGGGGGGTCACTTTACAGTGCAGATGCGGTCTCCATGCTCCCAGGGCTCCCTCTGCTCTTTGCTGAAGCCTGCAAAGCCCTGAGTCTCTGGCACTGCCAGCCCACAGCCTTGCCCTGTACCTGGCCCCTTGCTCTTGGAGCCTCAGCTACACTGGCCTCCCTCCAGGGCCAGGAGGGCACCATGTCCCTCACCTAGATCATCCCCTCACCTGGAGCACCCCTCATCTGGAGCATCCCCTCACCTGGAGCATCCCCTCACTTGGAGTACCTTCACCCCTCAACTGGAGCACCCCTTGTCTTGATGCCTAGGCATGGAGGAGTCTCCCCAGTCCAGGCAGCTGGGGCTTTCCAGCTCTGGAGCATGAGGGGGTGAGGATCTGAGACCTTGGAAGGCTATGAGAGAGGGAGCCACTGTCACATCAGGGAATGGGGCTTCTTACCATGGAGGTCACCCTCATGGCTCTGGAGGCCTGGGGCAGTGGCTCTAAAACTCCCTGAAGCTCCTCACAGGAGGTCCTCAGGCCTTTCCTTGGGAGCTCTGGGGTGATATGTGTGCCCTGGAACCACATGCCTGGGCCCAAATCTTCCCTCTGTGGATGGGGCCTCAGACAAGTAGTTCCCCGCCTGGAAAATGAGTCTGGGGTCCAAGGGGTTGCCCTGAAGATCCTAGTGCAGCACAGGTGGTGAGAGCCTCGTGCTCCCTAGTGATTAGGCCGGCTCTGAAGCTTCCTGCTCTGAAGCTGTGGGGCCACATGGACACTGGGCCCCTCACTGCCTCTGCTCCCCACCCAGAGGCAGGAACCCCGAGAGTGCCTGGGGAGGGAACCATGTGGGGTGGGAAGGCCACAAGTGTGTTTGCCAGTCCTCACCACCGAAGCCAGATGGGCACCCACAGAAGTGAGAACCTCGCAGCGTGGGGTGGCCCTGGCAGCTGTGGGTGGCGGGCGGTGGGCAGCAGGCCTCTCTGCTGCTTCTAGCTTCTGCTTCCTGCCTTCCCTCCTCCTGGGACGCAGGCCCGGCTCACCAGGGGCAGGGGGGTGGAGCAGCCGGGGCTGAGGATGACTCAGGGCCCAGCTGTCACCATGGCAACCCTGTTGCCTAGCAATGGCGGTCTCCCAGTAACGTCTCCTAGCAATGGGATATTTTCCCCGGGCCCTGGCTGGAGCCTGGCAGTTATTTTTAGCTCAGCTGCAAATCAGTCTGCAGCTGCGTTTTTGGCTCCTAGAGAAGATGCAAGGTGTATGTGGGGCGGGGAGGGGGGTGGATTTCTCATCAAGGGAGGAAACTTGTCATGTGTCCCAAGGTACAGGCTCATAGGTGGGCAAGGCCCGATTCCACCTGGGAGTGGAGGTGGGGGTGTGTGCAGGTGAAGCGGAACTAGCTCAGGCTGCCCGGAAGAGTTGGCAGATATGACTGTCTCCCTGATGGGGTCTCTGGGAGGGCTGGTCACTCCAGCACCCTGGGGCTCCCTAGGTCAGGCTGGTCAGGAGCATTCCAGGCCAGTGTTCATGGTGGGCACCACTGGAGCGTGTCACTTGGTGGCAGCTTCCTGGCACCCCTTGGCTCTCAGTTGTGGGAACTGTCCCCGTTGTCCTTTGCTCCCATGCTCCCAGCCCCCTCAAGGGGTGCAGCGCCCTGCCCTGGGCCAACTAGAGCACACATTCAAGAGGTCCTGGCTGCAGGGGTCTGAGCGGCCACAGACTCAGCTCGGGGCAAGGCTGAGCTGGCCTCTGCTTAGCCCCCATCTCTCCCTCTCCCCCACTTCTGCTGAAATGGAGCCCAAGTGGGAAGTCTTGGGCAATTGGGAGAACTTGACCCTTTTGGGCTTTCTCACCATTTCCTCAAGAGCTAGGCTCACTGTCCCCTCGAAGCCAAGTTCCACCTCCCACTGGCCAGCTTCCTGTCCCTGGTTGGCCCTAAGCTCCATCCAGACCTGGGGCACTTTTCCCATCCCTCCACCCCCATTGCCTCTGTCTGGCCTTTGTGTTGCTCCCACAGGCCCGGGACCAGCCCAGCGCCCCCCTCGGTCACATGTGCTCCTCACCTGTGCCCCTTACCCTGTGGGGTTGCCTCCCCTGCTGGAGGGCAGGGCTCACTTGGACTGCTCCTTGTCCCAGCATCCGCTCCAGTCCTCTGCCAGGACTTGGGTTTTGAGTGGAAATGCAGAGAGGCCCATTTTGGAGGATCAGGGCACTGAAGGGTCTGGAGCTTGGGGCACATGAAGGAGCCTCCAAACCGAGCACAGATGTTGAGGGAGTTACCTGAGATTTGGGGTATCATTAATCGATCCGTGCACTCACTCTCCAGGTTATTTACTGAGCATGTCTGCTCCTGCACCAGCAGCAAGCAAGGCCAGGTGTGGCCTTCTGGGCGCCCTGTCTTGTGGGTGGCAGACCTCCGATGGCTTATGACACTGGGTGCTTCAGGTAAGCACCCACAGGGCGTGGGGCCAGGAGCTGTGAGGAGAGGCAGCCTTCTGTGGTCTTCTGTGGGTGACAGCATCACCACTGGGCCCCTTGAAGAACCAGCTGCAGCAGAAGGCAGGGGGAGCCTGGTGTTGAGGGGCCACAGCTCAGTCCTTTCCAGACTAGGTCACCCTTTAGGAACCCCTTCCAGGCACCCACGGACACTAGCCCATTTTCCGGGGGAGGAGGAGGGTGGGGAGCCAGGGGCCCCAGACTGGTGGGAGGTGGGTCTGAGGCTGACTCCTCACACTGCCACCAGAGGGCGCCTGGAGCCCACTGTCCTCCTCCCAGGCCTGTGCAAGGGCAGTCAGGGCCCCAGTGACCCGCCAGAAGTGGAGCCACTGTCTCAGCAAGGGCAGCTGACAGGGGTGCCCGCTCCCTTCCTTCTAGGGGGGCCTCTTTTGCCTTCTATGTGCCCAGTGCCAGGCCCTGTGTACCCCTTTTTAAATTTGTAATTGGGTAAAATACACATAAACCTTACCACCTTAACCATGTCTAAGTGTGCAGGAGTGTCGAGTACAGCCACAGTGTTGTGCAGACGTCACCACCATCCCCAGAACGTTTTCAGCCTCCCAGACTGAAGACTCGGTCCCCATTAAACACCAACTCCCCGTCCCCCTGCCCCTGCAACCTTCATTCTAATTTTTCTCTATGAATTTGGCTATTTTAGGTACTTCAAAGGAATAGACTTATATTTGTCCTTTTGTGATTGGCTTATTTCACTGAACGTAATGTCTTCTAGGTTCATCCACGTTGTAGCATGTGGCAGAATTTCCTTCCTTTTTAACCAGAATAATATTCCACGGTATGGATAGACCCCATTTTGTCTACCCATCATCTGTCAATGGATACTTGGCTTGTGTCCACCTTTGGGCTATCGTGATTGATGGCTGGTTCCCACCGCACCTTGCCCAGGGCAAGGGGCCAGCTGAGCCCTGAGGATGCCTTGCCCCTCTTTGGCCCTGAAGGGCCCTGGAGCCAGGGGAGGGGGCAGTGGTATGCTCAGTCTGGCAGCAGCTCCAATGCCCCCCTTCCCCTTGGCGCCATCTGCCTTCATCTGTCAGCCTGCACTTCTGGCCCAGGGCAGCAGGAGGGCTGGGGTGGGGGGACAGTGGGGTAAAGACTTCACACCCGGGCTTCCCTGGTGGCGCAGTGGTTAAGAATCCGCCTACCAATGCAGGGGACACGGGTTTAAGCCCTGGTTAGGGAAGATCCCACGTGTCATGGAGCAACTAAGCCTGTGCGCCACAACTACTGAGCCTGCACTCTAGAGCCCGCGAGCCACAACTACTGAGCTCGTGTGCCACAACTGAAACCCACGTGCCTAGAGCCTGTGTTCTGCAACAAGAGAAGCCCGCCACCACAATGAAAAGTAGCTCCCGCTCGCTGCAACTAGAGAAAACCCGCGCACAGCAACAAAGACCCAAATACAGCCAAAAAAAAAAAAAACACGAAAAAAACCCTTCACACCCACAGGCGGCAGAGAATCTATGTCAGCTAAAGCTTTCAGTGATCTCAAGGGTTCCAGTGTGAGGTTGGAGTCCTGGGTTTGTGCCTAAGGCCTCTGTAATCTGACCCCACAGTTTCACCAGGCTCTTGGGTCCCATCCACCAGGTCCACACCTCAGGGCCTTGGCCAAGGCTGTCTGCTCCTCCCCATTGTCTGGCATTCTCTCCAGTCCCCATCTGACAACCTACTCCCCACCTCCTCCCTAGCCTACACATTGGCATTGGGGGCGGGGTTTCCTCTATGAGAGTGGGCCCCGTTTCAGCTTGTCCCGACCTACTAGGGGCTTGATTCTGGGGCTCAGGGCTGTCCTTGTTCCTGCTTTTCCACGGTGCCTGCAGCCCCAGTGCCTGGACTCTCATCGCTGGGTTACCGCGTGGCCTGTGGGAAGTCACCAGGGCCAGGTTAGGGAGAGATGGGGGATGGAAGCCTAGGTACCAGTCTTGGAGAGAGCCACCCAGATGAACTCCCCTCCCCCAGAGGTTCCAGTGGGCACCCCCCCCCCCCACCGGCCAAGGGCTTGGAGGACAGTGGCCCGACCAGGACTGCAAGCAAGGCGAGGCTGGAGGCGGGGGTTGGCGGGGGAAGTAGCGGGGTACCTCGAGGAGGTGACACTGAACACGTCCGGCCGTGGAGCCCCCTCCCCAGCGCCTCCTGGGCCACGGGCTGGTCCTCCCACCCCCGAGAGCGCCGCTGCAATTGGTGGAAAGTTCGGGCACCGCGGCGCGATTGGCTGCTCGGCCCGCCCACTGCCTCCCGGCAGCTTCCAGGCTCCCGGCCGGGTGGGCGGCCGGCAGGCGCGGGCGGTGGGGGCTGCGCGGGGCCGGGGCCAACGCCCCGGCTGCTCCCGCCGCGCCCCCGCGCGTCCCCGCGCGCCATGCCGACCCCGGCGCTGTTCTGCGCCCTTTGCTTCGGCCTCTTGGCCACGGCCGCCCGCGCCGGCTACTCGGAGGACCGCTGCAGCTGGAGGGGCAGGTACGAGCCCCACTGGACCCCCGCGCGGGCCAACCCCCTGGGACTCTGCGCACCCCTTAGGAGGGGGCTGGAAGATGTGTCGCCAGCCCTTTGGGATGGGGGCGCTCCGTCCCGGCACCGAATCCTTGCCCTCCCCGCCCCCCGCCGAGTCCCAGAACGCTGGGCCTCAGTTTCCTTCTCCACAAAGTGGACGCAGCTGTTGATGGCTGCGGGGAGAGGGTGCAGCGGAAGCGGGCTGGCCGGGTGTGGACGCCGGCCGCCCGCCTCAGCACCGCCCCTCCGGTCCGCAGCGGCCTGACCCAGGAGCCCGGCAGCGTGGGACAGCTCGCCCTGGCCTGTGCGGAGGGCGGGATCGAGTGGCTGTACCCGGCCGGGGCGCTGCGCGTCACCCTGGGCAGCTCCGACCCCGGCGTGCGGCCCGGCATCGCCTGCCTGCGGCCGGCGCGGCCCTTCGCAGGCGCCCAAGTCTTCGCGGAGCGGGCGGGCGGCGTGCTGGAGCTGCTGCTGGCCGAGGGCCCAGGCCCGGCCGGGGGCCGATGCGTGCGCTGGGGTCCCCGCGAGCGCCGGGCCCTCTTCCTGCAGGCTACCCCGCATCCCGACATCAGCCGTCGCGTGGCCTCCTTCCGTTTCGAACTGCGGGAGGACGGGCGTCCAGAGCTGCCTCCGCAGGCCCACGGCCTCAGTGCGGATGGTGAGTGCAGGCCTGGGTGGGGACACGTGGGAGTCGGGGAGTCGCTTCCTGGCCTCGCTGGGTGGGAACCTGCCTGTCCTCCCCACTGCATAGAGGGAGAAACCGAGGCAGCCTGTCAAAGGCACACAGCTAGTGAGTAGCAGCGCCAGGACAGGTGTGGGGGAGGGGCAATCCCTCACCTTGCGGGTTAGGGAAATTGCTGACCGAGGGCAGAATCCCGGAAGGGGAGGCCGGGCAGGGCAACCCGGGCCCCTGGTCCCTGAAGGGTTGGGGGAGGGGATGACGGCCAAAGCTGTCCAGGGCTCCCTGGCCCAGCGGTGACCTCCCTCCCCTCCCCCAGCCCAATACAACAGAAGTCCACTGTGAGCCCGGTCACCATGGAGATGCAGCCCCGCCTACCTGCAGGGCACCAGGCCCAGCTTTTTGCTCTCCTGGAGCTTGGAGCCTAACCTCACAGGGGATGGGGGTCTCTGCTCTGTCTCCTGACCCTCGAATCCACCATAACCTCCGGCCACGTGGGCTGGGCCGGTGACTTTGGGCCCTAGGAAGCAGCTCTGGGAGACCAAGGGGTTACCGCCTGCTGGTGCTGCCTGTGAGATGGGTGTGCAAGAGCATGTGCCTCGTGCACCCAGACCCTTGAGCTCCAGCTCGGTGGGTCTTTGTGCCTGCATGTTGGGCACAGCCCCCAGGCCCATGTCTGTGCGTGTGTGTGATGCATGCACGAGCCTGCAGTGTCACCCCAAGTACAGGGTGTCTTCAGGGTGTGTACACATGGTCCCTGAGACCCCCAGTTGCCATCAGGCCCTTAGGGGGGGTCTGGTAGCTTGCCCTCTCTATCCTGTGTCCAGCTGGGGAAGGGCTCGGGTAGTCCTGGAGAGGTCAGTGCTGCCACTCATGACCTCCCCTGCATGCCAGGTGCCTGCAGACCCTGCAGTGATGCCGAGCTCCTCTTGGCCGTGTGCACCAGTGACTTTGGTGAGTGTCCCTGCTGTGGGGCGAGCCAGGGGCCTGCCTTCCCCTGAATGCCACTGTCCAACATGTGTCCCCACAGTGATCCATGGAACCATCCACGGGGTTGCCCACGACACAGAGCTGCAGGAGTCTGTTATCACCGTGGCCGCCGCCCGTGTCCTCCGCCAGACATTGCCACTGTTCCGGGTGGGGGGTCCTGGGGGCCAGGCGCAGGCCTCCATTCGCACCCCACTGCACTGTGGCGTCCACCCTGGCCCTGGCACCTTCCTCTTCATGGGCTGGAGCCGCTTCGGTGAGGCCTGGCTGGGCTGTGCACCCCGCTTCCAGGAATTCAGCCGTGCCTACACAGCTGCCCATGCTGACCACCTCCACCCCTGTGAGGTGGTGCTGGACTGAGGGGCCTGGGAGCAGGGTGCTGGGGAGGGGTGGGTAGGAGGGTGGGGGGGTGACCTCCAGATGGCATCACAGTACCAACTGCTTCCGAGGTAATAGCAATAACCAATAAGAACGCAGCTTGCATTTACCAATGTGCATCGGGTGCTCGTGCCTGAGCCCAGCCCTGGGCCTGCCTCACTTCATTTTATTCTCCCACAGCCCCCGGCACTGCCCAGTTACCGCTTCACAGAGCCAGAGACTGAGGCTCTGGGGCAGTGGTGCCATGTCTAAGGCCACCCAGCCCACGCCCTGGAGAGGGGCTGCTGCTGGGTGGGGGCATGCAGGGACCCCCACTCATGTCACCCTCAGCTCTGCTGCCCCCAATGCCAGGTGATTCCACTTCTCAGAGTGGGAGTGGAAAAGGGGCCATAACACCCAAGGTCTGAGGTGGGTGGAGGCCCTTGTAGGGGGAGGCAGGCGACACCACTCCCAACCTGAGGGAAGGGGCTGCAATCTGGCGGGCCACCGACTTCCCCCGTGGTTCGCTGCAAGCCCAGCAGAGTCATCCTGGCCCCACTCTGCCCCTGGGGAAGAATGGGCCCCTCTGTCCACAGGCCCCTGCAACGTGCCCAGCATCCTGACGGCTGTGGGGTCTCTTCTGCAGGGTCCTGCTTGTTGCCCATTTCTAGTGGGCGGGGGCACACAATGGGGTCTCTAAGGACCGTTTCCCGCCACTGGCCTCATTGTCGCTGCCCCCGCCTTCCTCTCCAGCCTCAGCCACATAAAGGGCCAGCGCGGTCTGGACAAAGCTGACGGCCCTGAGGCTGAAAGGCCCCAGGATGGGGGTGCACGTGGGACTACTGAGCCCAGAGGGAGCTGACTCTGCTGACCCAGCCCCACAGCTCCTGGGAAAGAGGGCCACAGCTCAGGTCTGGTGGGGGTGCCTGGGCTGAGCCCCAGAAACAACTTCCCATCTCTGCCTGGCAGCCCTCACTGGAGAAGGGGCCCTGCCATCCTGCAGGCAGGAACTGAGGCTGGGAGAGGAACAAGGATACACAGGGCCACTTCTGCCATATTCGGCTGATATAGGTACCTCATGTTGCCACGCCCTGTGTGAACACTGCATCACTCCAGTGGCTGCCCTGGAGTTTCCGTGGGGCAGGCTGTCTAAGGCTACACTCGTGTCGGGTATGCACTCCTTTCACTTGGACGGGCCATTTGCTGTGGGGACTGGTGAGAATTGTGGGTGGGAGCACAGTCATCCTGGATGGTAGGCTCCCCTGGGCTCCTCCCACCTTCTGCTGTTCCTGAGGCTCCTTGCTGTGCCCTTTCGCGTCCCCAAACTCAAACCGGCACCCATGGATTGTTCAGAGCTCAGGCACCAGACCTCTCCTCTCCACGCACATTCCGACATTCCCTCATTAGAGAACTGGGCCAGCCTTCTGGCTTTAAATACGATCAACGTGCTGATGACCCCACATTTGGATCTCCAGCCTGGATCTCTCTCCTGGACTGCAGACCCTTGTATCCCTGTTTCCCCCTCCCACCACCAGGGAGTATCTCAGTAAAGACCAGAGGAGGAGGAGGTGAGTGTGCTCTCCTGTCATCCTCCTGTTCATCTTGGGAGGCTTTTGCACTGCCCATGCAGACCCCGACCTGAGAAGGGTTTCGCCTCCAGCGCTGAGAAGCACCTCATCCTTGGCTCTTGCCCTAATTCTCTGGCCAGCTCCCCACAGCCTTGTTTGGACAGAGGCCCATGGCCACACCCAGTGTGGTCACTGTGGACTACCTCTGGGACCATCTGTCCAGAAAAATGTAGGGCATCTTCTCTGGGCTGGGGCCTAGGCTGGACATTGGCCTCTGCCCACCTGCCCCAGGAAGCGCCTCCTATGCACACACCCTCCTCCAGAGAAAGTGTTGGCTTTGCAACCAGCAAAAGGAGCAGAAAGGGCAGAAGTGGGTGTGGCTGACAGGGTCAGAGGAGCCCCAGGGTGCTCTGGGAGGAGCCTGGAAGGCTTGGGCCAGGGGCTTCATGCCTGCCCACAGGGGAGTGGCCAAGGGGAAACGGTGTGGGTGAGCATGAGGGCTGGAGCTATGGGAGCAGGTGCCTCTGGGGCACCTCTGGGCATGTGCATTCACACAGGTATGCACTCGAGTGCCCAGTACCCAAAGGTGAGGAGCAGGGTGCAGGTGTGAAGGTGAGGGACTTTTGGGTGTGCACACTGGGGAGTCGGGGTAGGTGCCTTCATTCAGTCGACCCGCTTCTATTGAGTTTCTTCTAGGTACCAGGTGCTGCTCTAGCACCAGGAATAATACAAGGAACAAAAGAGACAAGAATGGGATGCTGTGTAAGCCCAGTGCACATCCTCCTTTTATGGGGAGGGCCAGGTGACAGCCAGGAAGAAGACAGAAGGTTCTGAGATGGGGGTGGGGAGCAGCCCTCCTCCGCTCCAGTGCTCAGGTCTTGGGAGCATGGCACCGGGGTTTCCTACCACAGGAACACCTGTCTTTCCCAAGTGGAGGCAGCTGGGGCCAAGTGTGCGGCAGTCTGCACTTGGGGATGGGGGCAGTGGTCTCCAGCATGCCTGCATTGCCTGAAGCAGCCTCCGTCCCTCCTGACCGATGCCGTGGATGGATGAGAAGCCAGGCCAGGGCCTGTGTGCAGACAAGTCTCTGCCACTCAAGGACGTCTGGCCTCAGGGTGGGGTGAGGAGGGGGTCCTGGCTCTGTCCCCGCACTTGCCTCTCTCATTCCCAGGCTTCATCAGGTCACTTCCGGGAACTCAATCTTTCTTCGTGTGTGTTACATTTTCTGGAGAAGGAAGGTGGTCTCCCCAGTTCCTGGGGCTCTTCCTCCCATCCACCTGACTGGGCCAGCTGCCAGAGCGCCCAGCACCTCACATCCGGCTCCCCTCCCATGACGCTCAGAGAGAGCCAACATCTGTCTTCTCGGTTCTGCTAAATTTCTCCTTATCAACCCCCTCCGCCCTGCCCTTCAGCCAAGCTCAAACTCCCCCCGCCCCCGCCGAAGCCTGCGCATCCTGCGTTTCCTGCGCACTCGGGCTAACTGCCTTCAGCCGTGGGAGGGGCCCGGGTGGCCTCCCCGCGACTGCTCCTGGTCTTGGCTGGCTATCGGGGTGTGCGGGGCGGCGTCTCCCCGGTGAGCCCTTTCCCCCGGGCTGACCGCCGCCCCTGGCCTCCAGCCACACCGCACGGACCTCCGCTGCCAGTCAACTGGATCCACGGCACCGCTTCCCTCGGGCGTCTCCCCGCGCTGGGATGTGCAGCCCCAGGGGTCCGCAGCGCCCAGGACAGGCCCGCAGCAACCATCTGCGGCATGGGCCAACGAGGCTGAGCGACGCGGGCTACAGGTAGGATGTTGTGCGGCCAGAACCCGCGAGGGTAGCCCCGGACCCCAGGGCTCCGCGGTCCGGAACCCGCGGGGGGGGGTCCCTGGACCCGGACGGAGCGGAACGCGAGCGGACCGGCTGCTCAGGCTCTCCCGGCCGCTTCCGGTGTCTCGCCGCGTCCGCCTCTTCCGGCGCGGCGCCGCGGGTCTGGTAGGCGCGGAGCGGGGAGTAGGGGTGCCGCGCAGGTCGGGGGCGGTGGGGAGGACGGCCCTCTCCAGGTCCGGGCCGGGTCATGAGGGTCTCGGACCTGAGCCGGGGAGGGGACTTGAGGTGGGGAAATACTGAGCCGCTCTCCCGCAGCCATGGAGCAGGACGACCCGGCCGAGGCGTTGACGGAGCTGCGCGAGCGGCGGCTAGGCGCGTTGGAGCTGCTGCAGGTGGCGGCGGGCTCGGGCCTGGTCGCCTACACCGTGTGGGCGCTGCTGCTGCAGCCGGGCTTCCGCCGCGTGCCGCTGCGGCTGCAGGTGCTGGGCCAAGGCTTGTGAGGACCAGCTGCCGGCCGGGCGGGTCCGGGCTGGGGGCGGGGCCTGGAGTGTGGCGCTAAGGCGGAGGGTGCAGCTACTCCAGGCCGATTCGGCTGTGGGTTGGGACCTCCTTCAGGTAAGACCGGACAGGCCACTCTAAGAATGGAAGCCCAGGAGGCAGGCCCCCCACCCTCACACTGCCGCCTGCTTCCTTGTACAGGTGCCTTATGTTGGCGCGAGTGCCAGGCAGGTGGAGCACGTGTTGTCGTTGCTGCGAGGCCGTCCAGGAAAGATGGTGGATCTGGGCTCTGGCGACGGCAGGATTGTAAGGACCGTGTTCGTGTGTGTTGGGGAGCGTCTTTGTTGACCCCTCCGCTGAGGGCACCGCCCCATCTGTTGGTCCTGACGCTCGTTGTGCCCACAGGTGCTGGCTGCCCACAAGTGCGGTCTCCGCCCAGCTGTGGGCTATGAGCTAAACCCGTGGCTGGTGGGGCTGGCGTGGCTGCATGCCTGGAGGGCAGGATGTGCGGGCAATGTCAGCTACCGCCGTGAGAACCTCTGGAAGGTAATCCAGGGAGTCCTGGACCCTCTCAGACCCCACCCTTGATCTTCATGCTTCCAGTTCTAGCTTGGTAGCTTGGCCACCCTGCTGACAGTGCCAGGTACCTCTGCCACCTGGGCAGGCTGGAGCTGGGACTTGGAAGCTGCAGTTACCCAATGCCCACCAAACCTCCCTCCCTGCTGGGGCCCCAATCCCTGCTGGGGTAATTTCCTCTTCCTGCAGGTGAGCCTGAGGGACTGCCACAATGTGTCTGTGTTCCTGGCTCCTAGCGTGGTAGGTCTGGGGTTTGCTGACCCCATGGGAGGCCCAAGCCATCCCCAGTGTAGGTGCTGGGCCTGGAGGAGCTGGGTAGGGGGAGCTGTGTTCCACCTTGCCCACCCCAACCTCCCCTCTCCCCCATAGCTCCCACTGCTGGAGGACAAGCTACAGGCAGAGTTGCCTGCAGGAGCCCGAGTGGTGTCTGGGCGCTTCCCCCTCCCCACCTGGCAACCTGTGGCTGTACTGGGTGAGGGCCTGGACCGCGTCTGGGCCTATGATGTCCACAGTGGTGGGCCAGCTGGGCAGGCTGTCCCAGGGCCTAGTTCTGCCTCCATACCTGGAGCCCCCAGTTCTCAGGTTGGCTGAGTGGACACAATAAAGACTCAGTGGGTTCCAGCCTGATTTTTTTTTTTTTTTTGCGGTATGTGGGCCTCTCACTGTTGTGGCCTCTCCCGTTGCGGAGCACAGGCTCCGGACGCGCAGGCTCAGCGGCCATGGCTCACGGGCCCAGCCGCTCTGCAGCATGTGGGATCTTCCTGGACCAGGGCACGAACCTGTGTCCCCCCGCATTGGCAGGCGGACTCTCAACCACTGCGCCACCAGGGAAGCCCCCAGCCTGATTTTTGTTGGGTGTTGAGCTGGGTGGAATGATCTCCCAAGGGGGTGCTGTGGGGAGGGCTCCATGCTGGCTGTGAAGAGTTCTGCTCCAAGTTTATCTGTTGACCAGGTAACGACTGCGAGTCCTTGGGTGCTGCGGCTTGGCTGGAGGTGTAGCCCCCGCTTTCCAGGGGTTCCCTGTACCCACCAGCTTCCTCAGCCTCAGGATCTCCTGCTTGTACCTGCTCAGAGAAACTAGGCATAGTCACCACCTGGCTGTGGACAAGCCCTGCTGCTAGTGCCTGGGACTGAGGTCCTTGGGTCTTACCCAGCCCACCTCTAGAGCCCACCTGCCCAGGTGCTGGTCCACATACTCTTGTAGCTCAGAAAGTTGCTCCTCAGCCATCGTGGCTCGGACTAGCAGCTGTGCTCTCTCCCTTTCCAGCTCTGCCTGGAATGGGGGAACATAAGCCATGAGCGCGGGCACAGTGTGAGGAAGGGCCTCTGGCCAGGTTTTGCCCACTACCTGGGTGCCACGGGAGAAGTCCTGTAGCTTCTGGCGGATCTGGGCCCAGGATGCAGCTTCCAGGCCCCTGTGAGGGGAGGAGGAGGGGTGGGCGTGAAAGCTGGCATGGACCCAGGTTTATGACCAATGACCCTGCTCAAGTCAGGGCCCCTAGGTCCTTGAGGTGCCTGCTGGGAGCGAGTTTGGGACAGTATAGGGCTGCCTTTCCACTGTGGGCGCTGTGAGGCTTGGAGCCATCTGTGCATGGGGGCAGCCACTGGCCACTCAGGGAAAGCTAAGCCACAAGGCCAGCTGGGACAGTGACCCCAGTGTCTGTAAGGATGCTTATGGGGGGCCTCCCCCCATGCTGGGGGGTTTCCCAAAACCCCAGGCAGGCGACTTGTCCTAGCTTCTGCCCACTGCACAGTTGAGAACATGAAGGTGCAGAGGCAAAGGCTGTGAAGGTCACCAGGTAGCCTGCTCCTGCCTTGTCCTGGGGTCAAGACTTATATCGTCCATGCCACCACAGGTCTTCAGCTATGGGTCCTCCGAGTCTCAGCTGAAGTGCCCTTTCTTAGGGGTCTCTCCCTGACCCTCCCATTCAAGGGTAGCCCCCTCCCATCCAGGAGGGTAGTCCCTCCTCTCTCCAGGCAGTTGGTTTTTCTGTGATTATTAGTGTCTCATAAGCAGACCGAGACTGGAGAATACAGATGGGCCACCTTGTCCACTGCAGCAACCAGAACCCCTCTAAGCACTTAATTCATAGGATGAATAAATGGGTCTCCCCAGCACCCACACCAGGTACTCACTGTGGCTCTAATGGGCCCCCCTGAGAGGCTTCACTGGGTTCTTTCTGTAGGAACAAGAACAGCAGTTGCTGAATGAGGCAGGCTGCTCAGAGGCCCTGGGCTTGGGGCTTTGCTGAGCCTGGGATGGGTCCTGGGGCGAGTTGTGGGGCAGCAGGGAGGGGTCACCTGGGCCTGGAGCTTCTGGAGCTGCTTCTCCAGCCTAGCCTGGTCCTCCCTCAGGTGGCCGAATTTGGTGACCATGTGCAGGGGCGGCGGCTCCATGTCTGAGGTGGCTGCACCAGAGGTAGCCTTGGGGATCCTGGGTGCCCCGTTGGGATCCACCAGCACCTGTTGCACACTAAACCCCGCACCAGGTCACCTAGGGCCATCCCACCCCAGGTGCCCAGCTCAGGGAGGGGCCCACCTGTGGGCAGCCAGCAGCTCCTCGTGCCTCCGACTCAGATCTGTCAGGCGCTTGCGGTAGGTGCGAGCAGCCCGGGCCAGCTGTTGCTCACGGCTGTGATGTGCCCCCCGAATGTCCTCCAGAGTGGTTTCCAGGAATGTCCGAAGGGCTGTGGATGCAGGCTTTGGGCCTGCACCATCTGCATACTCCTGGAGGAGATAGGGCTGGGCTGGGGCGGGTCCACACCTTGCCCCCCCAATTCCCTCCATGGAGCTGGTCTGACGACAGTGTGCTGGGTGGGCCTGAAGTCTCCCACAAGGTCAGAGTCTCTCTGAAGTGGTCTAGCACACCCAGGCCAGACTCGGGCTCCCCAGGACCCAGAGGCCTCCCACTCAACACAGGGCTAGCCGGCCCAGTGCTCACAGCCACGGCTCGGGCGCAGTGCTGCAGTCGGATGGCGTACTCCTCGTTCAGCTTCTTGAGTTGCAGCTGCAGCCGGGCGTTCTCTGCTTCAGCCTGGTGGAGCTGGCCCCGGCAGGCAGACAATACCTGGGGGTGGAGATGGCCCTGAATTTATGTCCTGCAAGGTGGACCTTTGCTGAGCCAGACCTCAAAGCAGGTAGGGGTGGGCCTCACCAAGGCTTGTGCAGCCAGTTGCTGCCCAGCTGTCCAGGCCTCCTCCTGGGCTCCTTGCAGCTGCCAGCCCAGGGCTGCCCTGCAGACATGGGTATGAGGCTTAGCCGGGCCTAGGGCAGGTGACTCCTTTTGCCCCTTAGGAACAGCTCCTTTGCTCACTGTGCCCTGCTGGGCCCTCCTGTCCCAGGTGAGGCAGTCACTCACACACGCGTCTCCAGTGCCTGCTGCCGAGCCCTGTGCTGCTCTGGCGCCCGACTTACTTCTCCCTGCGGCTGCGGGGTACACAAGGGCTGGCTGGGTGAGAGCCCAAGCTCTGGGTCCCCTGCACTGCCCCACCTCCACCCTGGGCTGGGAGAAACTTCAACAGATTCCCAGGCTAGGTGGCTGCACACTCACACCATGCCCCAGCTTCTGCTGCTCGTTCTCAGCTGTCAGGAAGTCCTTGGGCTGTGCCTGCACAGAAAAGCCGGTCTCAGCCTCACTGTTCCCCTGCTGGACCCCTGTTTAGCTTCCACCCATGCGCTCATGGTGACCTGGAGTCTGTGGTGGTCGGAGTGTCCCTGCCCCCAGGCCTTGTGCCCAAGCTCCTGTGCCAGTGCCTGGCGGTGCCCCGGATTAGCTTCTGCTAGGGCTGCCTGCTCTCCGTGCAGTTCTAGCTCCAGCACCCGGCTCTCCAGCCACAGGACCTGCGGGGTGACCAGGTCATCATCCATCTGGGCATCCACAGGGACACAACACACACAGGACAGGTGGGGACTTGCAGACACTGCGTGTGCACAGTCACATGGGGCACACCTGCACCCCTCACAGTTCTGGCACTAAGTGTGCACCCTCCCCCCATGCCCTCAGGCTGGCACACATAGGCACACATCAGTGCCCACCTCACTCTTCAGCTCGAAGATTTCAGCTTCGTGTTGCTCCTTCAGGCGATGGGTTTTGATCTGCAGGTCCACCAGCTCCTTGCAGACCTGTGAATGGCCAGGATGAGAGGTGGGGCCTGTGGGGCCCTGGGGATGCCCTCCCTCCTGCCAGTGCCTGAAGGCCCCCACACCCACCTGCAGCCGCTGCTCCTCACTCAGCTCTAGATCTGAGGGAACCTCTGTCTCAAGGTTGGTGGCGCAGGTTGGGGTACCCCCAGGGACTCCTGGCAGCCAGGTCTCGGCCCGCGGCAGAACCTAGGGAGGCACCACCACTCATACCCCAGGTGTATCTCAGACCTGGGCTGTGGCCTCCACTCTCATGAAGCCACCAGCCATCCACCCCCACACCCTCAGCCTGGCAGAGCTGGGGCAGGCCCTCCCACAGCCAGGACCAGGCCCAGGTCCTGGGAGGATCTACACCCCTCCTGGTCTCTGAGGGAACAGGGAGAACCCCCGAGCCCAGAAACGCAGCGTCCTGGGAGGACTCACATTCTTGGTGGCCCGAGGTGGGGCCCCTGGCCTGAGGCCTGGGGCTGCCACATACTCCATAGGCAAAAGGGACTCTGGGCTGCCCCAAGCCTGGTGCCACCTCGACTACTGGCCTGTTGCTGCAACACGGTGGTTTGTGTTGCCAAGGCCTCTGTTGTCCCCAGGAGACTCCCGGGGCCCCGCCCACGAGGGCAGGCAGGACAGTTCAGTGGTTGGGGAGGTGGGTGCAAACTCTCAACTTCTTCCGTATTTGGCGATCCATTCTTTCCGGTTTCCTTTTCCTCATCTGGGAAACGCAGATCGGCACCCCAGCATTTATCAGGGACGCGGATGGAACCACGAGTGCATACAAGGGCCCAGCCTGGGGAGGTGTGGGACAACGCGCATGGTATGGAGATGCCGCTGCTGTTACTGTTGTCCTCACACAGCGCGCTTTGCTCTACCATGTGGGTTCGCACACTCATTAGGCCCCTACGCTGAGCACTGGACGGGCAGGCAAACAAACTGGACAGATCCCTGCAGAGCTCAGCCTGACGGAAGCGGGCTCAGACGTCCCAGTCCGGGTCCGGGGTACTCAGGAGGGCTGTCTCAGCCCGGTGCCAGGAGGGCTTCGCGGAGGAGGCGCCGCAGCGCCAGGCGCGACTGGCCAGACGTGCGCGCAGCTCCCTTCGGGCACGCACGCGCTCCCTCCCGCGCACGCGCGCGCTCCCTCCCGCGCACGCGTGTGCTCTGTGCACTGTGCGCCGGTTCCCGCGCGCGCAGGTTCCAGGCGGGCCCAGCGGGCCTCAGGGGCGCGGGCTGTTGGTGGCGGCCCGGGTGAGCGGCGCGCTCCGTCCAGGCCCCGTGACAGGCGCCCGAAGCCCGCCTCTGTCCGGCTGTCCTTTAGGCAGTCCTTGAGACCAGCTGGCGCAGCCCAGCTGGGGTGAGTGGACGACCGGAAAGGGGGGCGGGCCGGGGTCGTACTTCGGAGGGAGGGGTCCTGGGGAGGGCGGGGCCTGCGGAAGGACGTTGAGGGGCGGGGCCTGGAGAGGGGCTGGTCCAGGGTCGCGCTGCGGCGGGAGGGCACCTGGGGAGGGGGCGGAGCCTGGGAGGCAGGCGGGGCCTACCGGGGCAGCGGCGTGGCTGGGGGCGGAGCCGGAAGAGGGCGCGGTTAATCGGGGGTGTGGCCTGCGGCGCGGGGGCGGGGCCTGCGGCGGGCTGAGTCTTGGCGAGAGACTGGTCCCCGCAGCTGCAGGTCAACTTAAGCCAGGAGCTTGGGATTCCTCAAGGGCCCTCGGGAAAGTCCGGGAGCAGGGAGTGCGGTTCCTTTCCTGGCCCCCAGCGTGTCTGTGGAGCTGACCCCTCCCACGCACAGCTCTGCCTAGGGTCTGGAGAGGGTAGTCCCACCCTGAGGAAGGGGCTCAGGAGGCGCGGGGTGGCTGAGCTCTGCGACCATGAAGGTCAAAGTCATCCCTGTGCTTGAGGACAACTATATGTACCTGGTCATCGAGGAGCACACGCGGGAGGCTGTGGCCGTGGACGTGGCCGTGCCCAAAAGGGTGAGGGCAGCTTTCGGGCGGCGGGAGCACAGCTGTGGGCCCAGGCATCGTAGGCCGAGACCGTCAGCCCGCATTCCGAGAGGCTTTCCAGACTACGCTGCTGGGGCCAGATCCTTCCCCTATTGTCTCATTTCTGGTTATTTGGCGTTTAGGGTTTCTTGATTATCTTGGGTCTCCTCTGAGGTTAGAGCCGTCTCGGGTCTCCCCTTTTCCCTGCATATGGTGCCTAAGTGTACTGTGTGTGCTGGGCGCTAATTGTCTGCTGGATCTCCCCTACCCCCAGGCCCGTCCCCTGCCTGGGGCACTGTGCACCCGGGCCTGGCACCCCAACACAGGCAGCCACCTGGACCACCTGCATCTCCCTAACTCCCATCCCTTTCAGCTGCTGGAGATCGTGGGCCGGGAGGGGGTATCACTGACAACTGTGCTGACCACCCATCACCACTGGTGAGTGCCATCAGGGTGGGCTGAGGCAGGAGGGTGTCACCCCTACCCTACCCTGACCGCATGTGATCCTGCTTTCCCCCACCCGCAGGGACCACGCCCGGGGCAACATGGAGCTGGCGAGGCTGCTGCCTGGCCTGGTGGTGCTGGGTGCAGATGAGCGCATCTGTGCCCTGACCCGCAGGCTGGTACATGGCGAGGAGCTGCGGGTGAGCGTGCACTCAGGAGGGGTGGGGAGAGCACCCTGGGCCCAACCACCTTACAGGCCCACCTGCTCCTCTGCCATAGTTTGGGGCCATCCACGTGCGCTGCCTCCTGACGCCCGGCCACACCTCGGGCCACATGAGCTACTTCCTGTGGGAAGATGAGTGTCTGGACCCGCCTGCTGTGTTCTCGGGTACTGGCTGCCCTGCGCCTACCCACCCCACCTCCCTCTGCCCCATCCACCTTCTCTGACCCACCCAACTCCCCAGGGGACGCATTGTCTGTGGCCGGCTGCGGCTCACGCCTGGAGACCACAGCTCAGCAGATGTACCACAGCTTGGTGGAGACCCTGGGCACCCTGCCCCCTGAGACAGTGAGCAGCCTGTCCCTTACCCTCTCATGGGGCCCAGCCTCCCTACATAACCGGTGCACTCTGCACCTGCCTTATGCCAGCGTTCAGGATGACTGCTTGCCAGCCGTGGGGACAGGTGGACCAGGCGAGGGGGGAGGGGCTGGGCCACTGGGGTGAGTGTCTCTGCCCATCTCTGCCTATGGTGGTGCTGTGCACCCCAAGTGCCTTCTTTCTCCAGAAGGTGTTCTGTGGTCACGAGCACACACTGGGCAACCTCGAGTTTGCACAAAAAGTGGAGCCTTGCAACAACCAAGTGAAGGCCAAGCTATCGTGGGCCAAGGTGTGACCACTCCTCCCCTCTCAGTGGCAAGGTTGGAGGGTGGGGTAGGACTGGAACCAGGGAGGAACTGCAGGGGAGTCCACCATGACCGACCCAGGTGACCAGACATGGCTTGGCCCAGGGCATTCTGCCAGCCAAGGCTCCCACTGGTGAGGGAGGGGAGCTGGGCAGCCTGCAGGTCTGGCCCATGAGTGCCTGCCCTCAGGGTCTAGGCTCACGCCCCCAGACTGGTGAGCTGAGCCAAGCTGCCTGGAGCTGCCAGACAAGGCTGTGACAAAGGCCTGTGGTCATTCCAGAAGAGGGATGAGGATGATGTGCCCATGGTGCCCTCAACCCTGGGCGAGGAGCTCCTTTACAACCCCTTCCTGAGGGTGGCGTGAGTATTGGCCAGCGTGTGGGCCCTCTTCTGGGGCAGGCTGGGGAGCACATGGCAGGGCCTGAGCCAGCGCATGTCGGGAGGACCTGTGTCCTCCCCAGGGGCCATGCTGCTGAACAGGCTGGCATGGGGCCGGACTGTTGTCCTTTGGGCCTCCCTGGCAGTCATTTGGATGCTGAGGGAGGTGTTGGGGGACTGGTTATTGGACTGTCTGGCACCAGGGAGAGGCTGCTCTTTAAATGCCCTCCAACAGTGGCTTCATTTCCACCGCCACGTCCAGCTTGCCCAGCGGTTCCCATCGAACCCCCTCTCCCCGCAGAGAGGAGCCTGTGCGCAAGTTCACAGGGAAGGTCGCCCCAGCTGAAGTCCTGGAAGTGCTCTGCAGGGAGCGAGCGAGCTTTGAGCGGGCAGCTGAGCCGCTGCAGCCACAGGCCCAGGCACTGCTCGCGCTGCAGTGGGGGCTCCTGAGCATGCCCCGGCCGAAGTGAGCCCTACGTGGGCTGGGCCACACACCCCTCCTCCCTTGACCCACAGGAGGATCGAGCCTTCCTCAGCCCTGCCCAGCCTTAGAGGGTGGGCGCCCTGGCCTTTCCTGGTGTTGGACACCCGGGGCCCCTCTCTGGGCCACAGTGAGTCCCGAGACCTGGATGTTTGCAAAGCAGCCTAGTGGGGTGCACAGGGCTCCTAAACTTGAATAAAGCTTTGAAAGGCCTCTTTTTTGATGCTGGTAAACATTCTTGAAGAGAAGCCGGTTTCAGAGAGAGTCCCCTTTACTAGAAGTGAGCTTTTCGGGGCCAGGCCTGGTGGGCTGAATGCAATCTGCCCTCCCCCTGCCCCTTAAGTGGGGGTCCAGCTGTGGACACAGGACTCAGCCAGAGAGACCACTGAGGCCTGATAGCAAGAGTCCTTCCCACCTGGACTCAGCCCCCAAGACACAGGTTCTCAAGCCCCAGAGACCGCAGCTTCGTCGAACACCTGGTTCTAGGTGGAGGGAGCACCCATCCCCAGCTGGGGTCATGGACCAGGTGCCTGTCTCCTGCCGGTGTCCTCTGCTGCCCAGCGTGGCAGGGTTCCCCGAGCTCTGCTGCGAGCTTGACCAGCCTGGCAGGTCCAGCCTATCACCACCCTCCACATCGCAGCTTCAGGTGACTCTAGAAATGGGGGATGAGGAACCCCCCCTTTTCTCTCCCTTAAGTTCCCCACAGGATGAGCTGAAACCCTCACAGCTTAGGCCACCACAACCAGGAGGAGTCAGGGCACCTCTAGGGCTCTGGGCCCATGGAGAGGTTCCAGCAGGTGGTGGAACCTCTGGCCCCCTGCAGCGGGGAGTCCAGGTGAGCACAGGCTTGAAGTCACCTTTACTGGCTGGGGGTCCTGAGTCCCATCTCTATGTGGGTCCCAATGTCCCCACATCTCATCCAGCATTTTGGAGGTGTGCCCTGGGGTCTCGGGTGACTTCCCTGCTGGAGACTCCACATGCCTTCCTGGGAGTCCCGGTGCTGGCTGTGTTGGGCCGGGTGGATCCTTGAGGCCTCCTACCACCTGATGCTGAGGCTGGAGCCAGCCTTTTCCACCGCGTGGTAGCTTGTGTGCAGCAGGCGGCTGGCCTGCTCTGAGCCCTCGCCCTGCAGCCAGTGCCCATACAGCTCCTGGACTCCAGGCGCATCCTCTGGTGCCTCGGTCCTGACCATGCTGTATAGTCTCTCAACCTGCTGCAGAAGCTCCTTGCCAGGCATGTCGGGGGCCTTGAGCTGGCCTCCACCATTCAAGCAACCTGTGGCAGAGAAGGACGGGCAGAAGTGTGGTCAAGGGGAGGGTGTCAGCGCACGGGGTCCCAGAGGGCCCACTCTGTCTGCAGCTACCTGCAGGGCAGGCCATGACCTCCACATAGTGGTATGGGCAGCGCCCTCGCTTGAGCTTTTGTACCAGGTTCTGGATGTTGCGGAAGCCGTAGGCCGCGGCGAAGTGCAGCAGGACCCGGCCCTCCCTCTCCAGAGTCACCTCTTGGAGGTCCTTGTTCCTGAGGGGACACAGACCAGGCTGTCCACACGGCACGCCCAGGCTTCCTCCCGGGTGGGGGACAGTGATAGGGGAGGGTAGAAAGCTCCCTTCAATGAGTGGGGCAGGTGGCCTCAGCCCCAGCCTTGGTTTCCTGGTCTGTAGAATGGGAACCCCACCTTCCCAAGGTCTGACAAAGGCCCCAGCCTGCCCTCCCTGGAATGGGGACTCACGTTGGGACACACCCTGTGCCAGGAAATCCGTCCTGCCACCATGGGCCTCTGGGGCCCTGGGTCACCGTGCTGTGGGTAGGGGACACTGAGCCCTATGATGAGGAGACCAAGGGCTGGAGAGCTCTGGCCCCTTCACATGAGCCAGAGGGGAGGGCCCAGCTCCTGCCTGGTGCCCCGAGAGGCTGCCCTGCCCCAAGCTCCAGCCCTTCCCACTGACCTCAGGGGTCTGTAGGTGACTTCAGTGACGTGGATTCCAAAGAGCTCCTGGGCTGCATGCCGGAACACGTGCTCCAGGTAGCCCCCCGAGCCCCCACCCTGATGGCTGGTAGGCTCCTGGGCAGATACACTGCTGCACCTGGGGAGGAGGGCATGGCCTCAGGTGGTAGTGGGGCTGCTGTCCACCAAGGCTTCTGGGTAACCTCTGTAACTTCTGTCATGTTTGAGAGCACTTGCTTTCTAAGTGGAAGATGAGTCACAGACTCATCACAGGGCTTTGTGGGTGTGTCAGGAGGAGGCTCTGGGGGAAAAGGACTGTCCCCTCCGTCATGTCACCTGTTCTGGGGAGCTCAGACCTGTATGAAGTTGGGGTCAGCTCTGATAACCATCAGCCAATTGTCCACAGGCTGTCTCGTGAACTCAACCACCTCTGGACACCAACACATACCACGGGGCAGATGCAAAACCAACCAGAAGGAAGCTGAGGCAGAGAAGAGGGGCGAGGACAGTGCCTGTCCCCGCCTCGTCCCTTCTGCTGCCCACCAGGACACCTCTGACCCCAAGGTCAAGAGCACCCCAATGCTGGACAAGCTTACTGCCCCTGACATGGCAGGCGCGACGTACAGACTGTCCAGGGGAGCCGACTCCAGCTCTGACAGCGAGACCCCTTCTTCTTCCAGCAGCTTGAAGACTTCTCCTACGATGAAACCACAGCACAGATAGACGCTCTTCAGCTGAATCTCAACAAAAACAGAGACCATGAAAGGTCCCCACCACCTGCATCCCTAGCAACCTGTGAGTGGCCAGACGTCCAGCCCCTGCTCGTGAGTGGGGGATGAACCCAGCCAGAGGCAACTCCACTTCTGAAGGGCCTCCCGGTGCTGCGGTGGGGCAGACGCGCCTGACCCTGGGGTGCCTCACAATGCGCCTGGAGTGGGCAGGGCACTGCGTCCCTGGACAGCGACCCTTCCTGGATCGTCTGCCTCCCGGGTGGGCATTCATTTCTCTTTTAAGCATTTGGGAGCCTCTGCAAGGCTGCTCCACTCACAGACGGGGTGACCAACATGAGCCAGGGGGATTGTGCTGGGCCTTATGCTGGGGACACAGCGCCAGCAGGCTCGGGGCCCCGCACCTGTTGTGATGACACAATCCACATCGCGTGTCTGGTGCTCTTGGCTGAAGAAGTCGGGTCTGGAGGCTTCCAGCTTTTTGTCGTAGCAGGGCATCACCGTGACGTGGTAGATCTTGTCGGGGGTCAAATGCTGCGTGGAGAACATGGCAGTGGTGCAGCTGCCTGGCCCCAGCAGCAAAGGCTGAGGCGGGGGTGACAGCACAGGCACGGCTGGGAGCGCAGTTCTGCGTGTGGGTCCTGACCACTGCAGTCTTGGCTCATTTTGTAAGATGTCCCTGTTACCTGTTGCTGGGAGAAGAAGTCCTTGACCAGGGAGCCCATCACCTGCTGCGGGGACCGGGCGGTGCTGATGTGGGGGAGGAGGACGTTCCCGTGGGTCTTCTCGGCGTAGCAGATCCAGCCTGAGGCCGACACAGGGTGGGGGTGGTGGGGGAAGCGAGCAGGGCAGGGGTGTGACTTTCTGGGGTGGACCGACTTGTACAGGAGTTAGGAGCCCACTAAGCCCCCACTGTGCTGTCGCCGATACGTATCTCAGGTGTCCCTATGATCACCCCTCTGGGAACTGAAGCGACTGCAGGTGACCCTCAGGCAGTGCCTGCTGACGAGCCCCTCCCCCAGCACTCCCGTCACCCATGTCCAGCTGTTGACATCGGTCCGCAGCATCAGCATACCTGGGCAGGCGGAAGTCAGCATAGGCAAGGCCTGCTTGGAATCGGCTTGTGCTCGGAATCGCCGCACGAACTCCCGCTGGCTCTCGAGGAGGCTGAAGTTCCTCGAGAAGGTGGTATCAAACACGTAGTGTGCCCCTGCAAGGGAGCACCCACCTCACCCCAAGAAGGATGGCCACAGCCCCAGGCGCTGCCCACCTCGCCCCGGGAGCAGGGCTCTGCCTTCCCGTGGGGCGTCACATGACACGCTGGTGTGCATGCAGACAGCCCGGTGTCCTTGGGCCTTCCTTCCTTTGAGCTCGGTGGCTGCCAGGGACCAGGCCAAACCCTGCATGCTGCCTAGGGCAGCCGCCGGCACCGGGGCTCACCCCACGTCCTCCCAGCCCTACTCCCAGCACGCAGAGGTCGACCAGCTGATCTGAGCCAGAACCCAACTCAGACCTGGGAGATGTGCCTTGATGGTGATAGTCTAAAAACAGTATTAGGAGTGGGTAAATTCCAGACTCGGGGAAGTGCAACATCAGAATTCAGACAGTTTTCTATTAAAAGGCACTGCTCTCTGTATCAAAACAGAACTTCAAGTTGAAGTCAACCTCAGATAGAGCTCCTGATGCGTTTAAGCCCAGTCATAGTGGGGCATGACGAGCCCCCCGCCAGCTCTCGTGTCCAAGCTGGAGCTCACCCAAGGTTCAGCACCTACCTATTTTTTTAAAGAACGCAGTTAATTTCCTGGCGGTGTCTGTAGGATTCAGCTGAAATCTCACAGCCAGCGATGCTCTGGACTGGGGAGAGACCGAGATGACCACCAGCCTCTGCTGATCAGGCGCCACCATCTGCAAAGCAAGGCACCTGCCGCTCACTCTGTGTGTTTAACAGATTCCAAGCCTAACTCCATCAGGGCGTGTCATTTTTGCAAACACGTAGAACCTAAAGTTTAGGGTTAACACTTCAGTGTCAAAATACAAGTAACTGACTGAGATCCCACCGATGAGACCTAAAAACGTCAGGAGTCACTAGGAGACATAGGACAAAGGGCACCAGAAGATGAGCTGCCCTGACAACACGAGTGAGGGATGCTGGGGTTGATGTCGGGTTAGAGTGACATCCCAAAGACTGTCCCACCGCTCACCTTATTAGCACCTAGAACCTTCCGCAGCTCCTCGTGGCTCTGCTGAGTGATGAGCACGGTCTCTGCCGAAGTGACGCAGCCACTGCACGCCAGGCAGTCGTCCAGTGAGATCTTGGCCCTCTCCAGCTTCTTTGTCCCTCCATCCTGGAAGCACAAGAACCTGGTACCCCAAGGGCCCTCCGCATGAGGACGTGGAGCTCTCAGATGATGGGACCCACAGGAAACCTTCATTCTCCGTCTCACAACACTGACAACCAACTACTGGCTTTATGTGCTGTAAGTTCTTAGAAATTAAATATTTATTGCAGAAACACGTATACACGTTCTAGATTTTCATAGTGGCACCAAATTCTAACTTTGGTACAAACTTGGCTGGCACGTCAGATCATATTGAAGAGGCTTGCTGCCCGCCAGGGGTGGGAGACGGGCATTAAATCTGCAAGGGAGCAGCTGACTCATCACAGAGGCCCTGGACAGTCATTGGTCCCCAGGCTGCCCTCACGGGGCTGTGGGGACAGGAAAATGCCCAAGGCCAGGCTCTAAATGGAGGAGGAAGAGAAAGGCAAGGGCAAAGATTAAGGAAGAAAGGACAGAGGGACAAGGAAAGGGGCAGAGGGAGGAGATGGCAGGAGCCTGTGCCCACCTGGGCTGTGCCTGCCCAGTGCCAACACATGGAAGAGTGGGTGAGGGACACAAGGGGCAGTCACACTGTCAGACTCGGCCAGACAGTTGCAGAACTTGGTGTTCAAGCCAGCCTCCAGGCTGGGCAACTCTTCTTAGCTGCAAATGATCCCAGTAGAGCCCCTTCACTCCCTCTGCACACACAGGAGTGGTCTAAGCCAGGGCCAGGCGAGCTTCAGGGGCCCAGAGTGTGACCAGGGGGCTGATAAGACAGGAACTCCCTTCCAGCCCAGATCACTAGGCCTTACTTAGCACCAAAGCCACAATTTGAGCTCAGTGCATTTTCCCAGGTTGGACTGGTCTCAAGGCCAGGCTGTGATACTGTGCTGAGCAGGGGGCTGATGTGCTTCCGACTTCCCTCCAGATCAACCACTGCTGCTCTGGAGCAGCGCCCACTTGGTCCCTAAAAAGGACCCAGTCTTCCGTGCTGTGCTGGGCTTAGGCGGGACCCGTGGTGTGCTGCTGCGTTACCCTCCTGGGCTGAGTGAACAGTGGCTCTCTCCTTGTGAACTCTGGATCCTGTTGTCTGGCCCTACCGTGAACCATCCTGTGGCTCCTCCCCTGCTTGGGCAGGATTCCCGGGCCAGCGTGCCTGGTGGTGCCTGCGGTCCCTGGGACAGCACAGATGTTCTTGAGAGTCCAAATGGCAAACAGTCGGGGTAAATTTTAAGGCCATTGGATTAGGATCTCGTCATTGCTAAATTACACAGGAAGTAGGTGTTCCCTAAGAACAAGTGGTCTGGACTAGAAAATCTTACACAATTACAACTCAGAGAGAGAAGGAGAGAGGGAGGGGATGCGGGAACTGCCATCTCTGCAAAGAGCTCTCTGCAGAACATATCTGAGAAAGGATTGGTGAGACGTGCAAGGTCCTGTGGCCCCTGCATTTGTCACTCGACGGAGCAGTGAAACGTGCTTCAGGCCAACCAAGCTGGCACTTACCTGACTGACTTGGAAGTAACTCCCGTCATCTTCGACGTGGATCTTGGCCACGCCACTTCCCGGCCTCTTATCCACCCTCATGGGCTTGATGCAATCCTGTACCAGTAAGAAACCCCAACGGGCACCTGAGTGCACAGAGGCGGAAGAAGAGGGGCAGCCTGATGGCCACACCACCACCTGGGATGAAAACTGTGCCCTGATTCCGGTCTTCCTGCACCAGAAGCACTCGTAGCGCTATGGATCTTGTCACTACTTTCCCTACTCACTCACGCTTGGCCAGACACTCTATCCGACCAAGAGTCGCTCTGCAGGTCACAGTCAGATGGAGGCGGTGCTGACTGGGCCTGCACGCTAACCTGTCTGCAGACAGCACCAACCCCCACCCTCACCTTCCTCAGTGTAAACGTCTGGCGGGGCACCGTGGCCAATTTTTCATTGACTGCTGGGAAGAAGCCAAGGGGTCGCTAGGAACGCTTGGCCCCGCCCAGTTCCTGGAAGAAAGTTCCTTTCTTTGCCCAACTCCTGGAGTTCTCGCGGTCTCTCTCAACAGGAGCACCTCACTGGCCATCGCATTCCCAAAGGGAACTAGCCCCAGAAAGCCTTGGTGGGAGGCCTGTCCGAGCTCCTCCTGCCGCTGTGCCGGGACCAGCCCCACCCGTTCCTCCTCCTGGGACGGCTTAGCTATGGACCTCCGAGCCCTGGTCCTGCACGGCTGGTGGCAACCGATAAGCGGGGACACCAGATAAGGGCGGCCGGCTCTCAAGTGCAGCTGTCCTGTCCCCTTTGGGGGCAAGCTCTGTCTTCTCCCCCGGGGGCGACACCTACGACGACCACCGCGATGACTCCAGCGGAGCACCTCCCAAGCCCTCGCAGCGGGGTGGGGCCGTCCCACTCTGTTCACACGCAAGGAATTGGCCAGGGAAGCTCGGCAGGGTCTCCCGGGCCCCAAGCTAGGTGAGTCCGGCTGCAATGGCCGCCCGGGAAGGGGACGCGGAAGCTACGGGGCTGTGCAACCTAGCAGCCCCGCTTCTGAGCCCCTCTCTCAGCGGAGAGACTGCGCCGGAGGGGGCTCCCCGCGCACGGCCGCCGCACTGCCCGCCCACCTGAGACGGCGCGATGAAGTCGTCCAGGTCCGTCAGCTGCAAGGCCCCGCTGAAGAGCGACGCCATGGTGCCACACTGCCGCCCGCCGCCGAGCGCAGGTGTCGCCAAATGCCGCGAAACGGCGAAGCGGTTCCGCCACGCTGCCGGAAAGCGTCCGCATGGCTCATGCGCGACTGGCTAAACGGCCGGGTGTCTGGGAGGCGCGCGCCCCCTGCTGGCGGCCCCGGGCACCTCTCACTCTCCACCCTGCCTGGGCGCCGGCCGGGAGGCAGAGGGGTGGCGGGGCGGCGGGGAGGCGAGGGCGCCTCGCTTGCGGTCCCGGGCTCACCTGCCAGCCAGGTGTGCGGCCCCCGCCGTCTGCTCCCCGGGAGAGATGCAGCCGACTTTCTTTACTTGGCTCCGGACGCAGCCCAAGAGCCCAAAAGGGCGCCGGTTACGCAGAGACGCCCAGTGTCTGTTGAAAAGAGAAGAAAATGAGAGTGACGGGGATGGGGAGCCGTTCCTCCCGAGGCTGCGGCTCAGTGCAGAGCCCTGGGGCTCTCGGAGAGAGTCCGCGGTTATTTCAAAGACCAGCCTGAGAAAACTCCATTTCCCTGTGAGATTTTATTACCTGAGACAGAACCGTTGCTGGCTGGACTCAGTTCTTGAGTCGTCATGTACAGGTAATGACCACTTTTTATGGGGCTTTCCAGAAAACGCCAGTGATGGAGTCTGGCACATCCCCGGGACCCACGTGGGCCCAGCCCTGAAGGTGTCTTGGCAGGATCAGCCCCAGAATACCCCGCGGGCACGGCATGATCTCACATGCTGGGGGCCCATTCCAGCCTGTGCTCTTCCTGGGGTTCTTGTTCTGATGTGGTCTCTACCGGGTGATACCTCATCTACCTGCGGGTTAACTGTGACGTCCAGGTGCCTGAGGCCCAGGTGTTGCTGCTGCCTCCTCCAGCACCTGCTGCCTCTCCTCTTGGCTCCCAGGATGGGAACTTCCTTCTCAGCAGTGAGAGGGACTTTCACCAGGGGCTGTACCTGGTGGGCTTCCAGGCCCCAGCACCCACCATCCTGGCAATATCTGACTAAAGTCTGGGTTCGATGCCTGAAATCTCAACATTCTCACTCATTATTAGAACCAGACAAATACAAAATAAACTTAGTTTCAGTGCAGTGCCCCAGAGAACGTTTACAAAAAATGTGTGAGGATAATAAGTGCTGTTGGGATGGGGCCAGGATGAGGGTCAGTTAGGCTGGGGCGATGGAGAGGGTTTATAGCATAGGGGGCTCTGGCTGAGGCTGGGGGACAAAGGAGGGCTCTTCTAATGCTGGAGGGGGACAGTTTGCATGTAGATATGCAGGGCGGTTTCCATCTCTCTCCCCCAGAACCAGTGGAGCAAAGGTGGGGGCTAGTCAAAAGATGGAAGCTGCCCAAATGACCATCGGCAGATGCGGATAAAGGAATGTGGTCCATCCACATCGTGGACTGTCATTCAGCTATAGAAGGATGAAGCACTGACACACTGTAATGTAGACGAACCCTGAAAACACTGTGTCTAGTGAGAGAGCCAGACACAGATGCCACTACTGTGTGATTCCACTTATGTGAAATGTGCAGAACAGGCAGGTCCATAGATCCAGGAAGTAGATTAGAGTTACCAAGGCCCTGGGAAGGGGCTTCAGTTTGAGATGATGAAAAAGGTTTGGAAATAGATAGTGGCGATGATTGCACAACATTGTGAATGTAACTCTCGCCACCGAATTGTACACTTAAAAATGGTTACAATGCCCAATTTTGTTATATATATTTTAACACAGTTTTAAAATTAATAATGTAATATGTTAAAAACCATTGAATTGCACACTTTATTTATTTAATAATTTTATTTATTTATGGCTGCTTTGGGTTTTCACTGCTGCCTGCAGGCTTTCTCTAGTTGTGGCGAGTGGGGGCTACTCTTCGTTGCGGTGTGCGGGTTTCTCATTGGGGTGGCTTCTCTTGTTGCAGAGCACAGGCTCTAGGTGCGCGGGCTTCAGTAGTTGTGGCTCTCGGGCTCTAGAGCGCAGGCTCAGTAGTTGTGGCGCACGGGCTTAGTTGCTCTGCGGCATGTGGGATCTTCCCGGACCAGGGCTCAAACCCGTGTCTCCTGAATTGGCAGGTGGATTCTTAACCACTGCGCCACCAGGGAAGTCCCTGCTATTGATTTTTTTTTTTTTACTTATTTATTTTTGGTTGCATTGGGTCTTCGTTGCTGCACGGTGTGCGGGCTTCTCACAGCGGTGGCTTCTAGTTGTGGCACGCGGGCTCAGTAGTTGTGGCACACAGGCTTAGTTGCTCCGCAGCATGTGGGATCTTCCCGGACCAGGGCTCGAACCCGTGTCCCCTACATTGGCAGGCGGATTCTTTGTTTTCGTTTTTGTTTTTGTTTTTTTGCGGTACGCGGGCCTCTCACTGTTGTGGCCTCTTCCGTTGCGGAGCACAGGCTACGGACACGCAGGCTCAGCGGCCATGGCTCACGGGCCCAGCTGCTCCGCAGCATGTGGGATCTTCCTGGACCAGGGCTCGAACCTGTGTCCCCTGCATCGGCAGGCGGACTCTCAACCACTGCGACACCAGGGAAGCCCTTGCTATTGATTTTTAAATCAATCTTATTGTGGTACAGTTTATGCACAATAAAGGCATCCATTTAAAGGGTACAGTCCAAAGAGCTTTGGTGGTTACACACATCCGTGAAATCTCCACCTCAGTCAAGACAGAACATTTCCATCAGCCCCAAAAGATTCCTCACTGTTACTCCTGCGAACAGGAATCCTGAGTTTTAGTGAAGTTTTCTGGCCCCGGCAACCAGTGATGTGCTTTCTGTCATGAGGGATTCGTTTGCAATTTAACATTTTTATATAAACAGAATCATACATTATGTACCCTTTGATATCTGCCCCTTTCGCTCAGCATAATGATGTTGAAGTTCATCCTTTTCCCCCAAGTATGAGTAGTCTGTTCCCTCTTATTGCTGACCAGTAGGTGAGCATATGAATAATACCATATTTCATTTGTCCATTGGTCTACTGATGGAAATTTGTTTTTCCCCATTTTTGGCTATTGTGAATAGAGTTGCTATGAATATTCACGTATGAGACTTTGTGTGCACATCCAGGTTTATTTCTCTGGAGGGATTACTTAGGAGGGGAATGGCTAAGTTGTATGGTTAGGAGTATACCTAACTTCTTAAGAAAATGCCGGATCCAGGTGGAAAATGGTGGCAGCAGCTGGATCCTGGGTTTCTGGGCTGCGAGGTTTGTTCCCGGCTGCAGCTGGAGCAGCCTGTGTCGAGTGGCGCCGTGGTGAGGAGGGCTCAGCTCGCATGTGGAAGACCCTCACCTACTTTGTGGCGCTTCCCGGGGTGGGAGTGAGCAGGCTGAACGTCTTCCTGAAGCACCACGGAGAGGAGGAGAGACCTGAGTTCATCACCTACCCTCATCTCCACATCAGGTCTAAGCCCTTTCCCTGGGGAGATGGTAACCATACCCTATTCCATAATCCTCATGTGAATTCACTTCCAATTGGCCATGAAGATGAATAAAGAGAACCTGGACCACTACCCAGTGGGGACCACAGCACTGGTTTGGACCATTACTCTGCACACATGGACCAGAAAAGTGTATAGGACCTTAAGCTCACCTTCTTGTATCCAGTGATGACCATTATACTGATCTTCTGTCCCTTTACTTATGGCAGGAGATGGCTTTAATAAATAACTTAGTCAAGGGACTTCCCTGGCGGTCCAGTGGTTAGGACTCTGCGCTTCCATTGCCAGGGGCCTGGGTTCGATCCCTGGTCGGGGGACTTAGACCCCACAAGCTGCATGGCGTGGCCAAACAAAAACAAAAAATGCGCAGCAGAAATGCCCGCACTACCTTGTGCTCCCACCACCAGGTGTGAGTCCCACTGCCTCACACCCAAGACACACTTTCCTTGTCAGACCCTTTAAGTGTCCTCGTTCTGGCGGGTGTGTCTTGTGTGGGGTTTGATCTGCATCTCCCCAGTGAGTTGGGCATCTTTTCATGTGCTTATCGGCCATTCACACGTCTTCTTTTATGAATTGTCTGTTCAGATCTTTGGCCTGTCTTTTAAAAACAGCTTTCCTGGGGCTTCCCTGGTGGCGCAGTGGTTGAGAGTCCGCCTGCCAATGCAGGGGATGCGGGTTCGTGCCCCGGTCCGGAAGGATTCCACATGCTGCGGAGCGGCTGGGCCCGTGAGCCATGGCCGCTGAGCCTGTGCGTCCGGAGCCTGTGCTCCGCAGCGGGAGAGGCCGCAGCAGTGAGAGGCCCACGTACTACAAAAAACAAAACAAAACAGCTTTCCTGAGAAAGAATTCCCACACCATGCAACTTACCCACCTAAAGCATACAATTCAACGTTGTTCCTTTAACCTGAATTATTGAACACCAAATGGCTTTGGAATTTAGCTTTTGCTTCTGACCTGATAGTGTTCCTTTTTTTAAAATAAATTTATTTATTTATTTGGCTGTGTTGGGTCTTTGTTGCTGTGCACGGCTTTCTCTAGTTGCGGCGAGCGGGGGTTATTCTTCGTTGTGGTGCACAGGCTTCTCATTGCGGTGGCTTCTCTTGCTGTGGAGCACGGGCTGTAGGCGCGCAGGCTCAGTAGTTGTGGTGCACAAGTTTAGTTGCTCCGCGGCATGTGGGACCTTCCTGGACCAGGGATCAAACCTGTGTGCCCTTCATTGGCAGGCAGATTCTTAGCCACTGTACCACCAGGGAAGTCCCCTGATAGTGTTTCTTAACGAAGGCAACCTAAAATTACAAGGGAAAACAGAGCTTACACGCAAAACACGTACTGCGTGACCATCATTTTAGCAACAAAAGTAACGTGTTTCATACGCCTCCTGTGCCGTCAAAGTTAAAACAGGACGCGAACTGTTCATTCCCACCCACATTGCAGCCGCTGTGTCTTTTGGGCTCAAACTGCAGTTCCTGCAAGTGGGCACAGAGGAACCTTCCATCCACATCTCAAAATTCATTTAACTGTGCAATTGGGGGGCCCCACCTAACCCTCAGTTGGAAGTGATTGATCCTGGACACACCTGCCAGGTGTGTCCAGTCCATCTAGTGAATTTTTAAATTCCAGATTTTGTATTTTTCATTTCTAAAATTTACTATTTGGTTCTTTTAAAAATATTTTCATTTTTTTCCTACCTCTGCATTCATGAGAACCCATTTTTCCATGACCTCATTGTCTGGTAATACTAATACTGTCTTACCGTGGCCTCAGCAGATTCTTTTCCCTGGGGAATGGGTCACAGTCTCCCAGCTCTCCCTTTGCCGAGCAGTTTTTGATTTCATCATGAACATTGTGACTGTTTTGTTGTGTAGACACTGCATTCTGTTATATTCCTACAAAGACTGTTGCTGCTTCTGTTTGGGCAGGCAATGAACTTGGTCATACTTGAACTGTGACCTCTGCCACTCCCAAAGAGTGCAGAGTTCAGTCTTGGCCAGTTTGTCATTTGAGCTGTCTACCTTGCACACACATGATTCAGGGGTCGGCAAGAGGCCTGGGTAGAGTTGGTACACAGAATTTGGGGTCCCCTCCTCTGGCTCTCTCCTTTTCAGAGTTCTCCACCGCTCTCTGCTGTCTGGTTATTCTGGGCTCCTTCCTTTGGCTCTTTCGGCCAGAAAGATGGTGGGATTTCTGCTGGTGTCTGAGCACCGCACGCCACAAAGCCACACCCACAAAGGGAAATCCACTCTGGCATTTTCCATCAAGTATCAATTCCCGTCCAAAATCTGGCTTCTTTCCTTCACTCCCCAGAGCCCTCAGGGAACTGTTTTTTTTATATTTTGTCCAGAATTTTTCAGTTGTTATCTATGGACAGGACTTTTTTTTTTTTAAAGGCACTTACTCTTTCTGTGAGTTGGTTCTTGTACCTGGCAGCCTTCCTGAATTCTGTACTAATTAGTATTTGGCTCGACTGTACATAATAGAAAACCCAGCCCACAGAGAGAGGTCAGAGACCGGACAGATTCCACACAGGGAATTCCTATTCACAAAAGTATAGGAGGGCAGGGGGGCGGGGTGGGGGGATCGAGGGAGCCACCAGGGACTCTGGCTCCAGGGGCGCACACAAAGGCTGTGGTGCCAGGATCCGCATGCGGACACTGGCGTCTGGCCAGCACAAAGGTAGCCTCCACCTCCCATCCGGGAGACGGCCAGTGCCTGGGCAGGTGAGCTCCCGCAGCCCTCCACCTGACCACTGCACCACCACGCCAACCTGAGCCTGGAACTCACCCCCGGGAGTCAGGGAGTCACATCCTGCTGACTGGGGTGGAGACCCTCAGGGCACCAGCCGTGGGTGGGTGGAGACGGGGACCACGCCCTTGCCTTGCCCTGCAATTGTGGCCTCTCTTTGGCACTGAACCTCTGTTGTACCACCTGAGAAGGGAGAGTAAGACCCCACGAGGTGAGGCCTTGGCTCCACACACATGCCTGGTACCTGACGGTCAGCCAGCCCGGAGCTCCCATGACTGCCCAGGGAGGGAGAGGCAGAGGTGGCTCCCCCCCACCCCCCACCCCGCCTCCTGCAGCCCCTCCCCAGGCCTCCACCCACGCATTCCTATGGCCTGAGTACTGCTGGCCCGAGCCTTGTTTGTTTCCCTTGACAGACCCCAGAGGCTCCCACCTCTTGCCCTCCTGCTTCCCAGTTGAGGAAACCGAATCAGAAGACGCGCAGAACCTTGGCCTCATCTGTGTGGGGTGGGGTCATGATGGAGGGCATGCTGGGGGAGGTGAGGGAGGGGACACCTCCTTCAGTACCTCCAGCCAAGCGGCTCTGGGTGGGAGCAGGGATTAGGCGGAGGCTGGTACTGGGACCCAAACAAGCAGGCTGGGGGAGGTAGGGCAGCCCCCATCCCTGCCCACCATATGGATTCCTCCACCCTAGTCCTCACTGCACTTGGGGAGCAGCGAGGACAAGCTCCCCTGGCCTCAGAGGGCTGTGCCCTCGGTCAGCTTTACCCTTGCCCCAGCTGCTCCTGACATGCTGTGTGACCCCAGGCTAGCCACACAGCATCTCTGTGCTTGGGGAAGACTAAATGACCCTGCATCGAAGACCCTAAACCTGTGATCCGTGCCCCTTCCCGTTCTCACCAGACAGGCCTGAGGCTGGCAGGGAATGTGGTCTGACTTCATTTGCCACCACTTGAGGGCCAGACCTTGGGGACCGAAGTTGGGCTGGGGTGGGTGAGACAGATGGGGCAGGAGAGAGCTTCAGCCAGTGTCCTGCAGCTGCACACCTGCTGAAGGCTGTGAGCTCATGGTTCTTAGGCTCAGGGTTGGAGCTGGCCATTCCTCTGTCACTGACACAGCTGCCTCTACCTCACATGCCACTCTGATGAGCTTGTGGTCCACTCAGACCCCAGACCCCACATGCTAGCAGGCAGGCCCACCCCCATGTCCTGGGCAGGGCTCGAATCACCTGCTCCAGCATGTGCCAGCATCTCTGCAGGGCCCAGCATGCAGTAGGCACTCAGGGAGTGTGCAGGTGGTTAATGAGTGACAGATGACCAGGTGGACATTGGTCTTGAAGGACTCAGGGTTGGAGATGGGACCATCCCAGGCACCAGAAAGGGAAGCATCCGAGCAGCCTTGGATAGGGAGACAGAGCATGGTGAGGGGACTGTTTCCTTGTCACACAAATATGCGTGCCCTGGACTGCCTGAAACAGATGTGACTCTGGCAGGTCACACTTGGGCCACTCTGGAAGCTGCAGCCCTAAGACAGCTGAGGTGCCTTTGTGGCCCCAACCTGGCCTATCTGGGGGTAGGAGGTGGGAAGGTTGCAGATTCTAGGGCCCACGGTGGGCTGCAGGGGTTCTGAGGGAGCCCCTACCTGGTGTGCAAGGGGTCCCTGGTTACACGGGGCTGGGGTGGGGGCTGAGAGGAGACAGCAGGGGGAGGCATAGCTCCTGCTTGGCCTTACCCACCCCACGGGCAGGGGCCCCACTCAACTGCCTCTTTTCTGTTCTGGGGGCCTGGTAGGGGAGGGGAGCTCCCCAGGACACTCCTCGCAGGCTGGGCTCTTTGCCCTGCTGAAAGGGGTTGCTGAAGCATAAGCGTGCCCCCCCGCCCCCGCCAATTTCTGTGCCCTCCTCCCCCCACCAATTTCTGAGCCAGGGGTGGGGCCGACACAGGCCTGGGTGGAGGTTTGGGGGAGGGGATGGTTCCATTCCACCAGCCCTAGGTGGCCTCTGGCTCCAGGCCTCCTTGGGAGGGGCAGGTGTGGAAGGCAGTTTGGTCTCCTGCAGGCCCCTATCTACTCGGGAACAATATTCTGTGGGGAGCGGCTCCCCACCCACCTGCCACCCACACTTGTCCACAGGCCCCAAACCCCACTTCAGAGAGCACACGGGGGTCTTCCCAGAATGCCCACCCACTGCCCCACCCTAAGAGCTGGCAGGTGGGAAAGGGTATCACCCTTTGTTGTTGTTTTTTTTTGGCCATGCCACACGGCATATGGGATCTCAGTTCCCTGACCAGGGATTGAACCCGGGCCACGGTAGTGAGAGCCTGCAGTCCTAACTGCTAGGCTACCAGGGAACTCCCTCTGGTACTGCCCAGGCCTCTGCTTTGGGAGCGACCTCAGAAGGGAAAGCAGTGGGCTGGTGGGCCCTGCCAGCCTTGTCCAACTGGCAGGGCCCTGGGTTTGCGCAGGGCCCTGGGTTTGCACAAAGCCCAGCACCTGCGGCTGTGGGTGGGAGGGGAGGATGGCCACGCTGCAGGGTGAGGGGTCACTCAGCCTGACCCCCAGCCCAGAACTGCTCAGCTCCCCTGTTTTTTTGGTTTTTTTTCCCGGTACGCGGGCCTCTCACTGTTGTGGCCTCTCCTGTTGCGGAGCACAGGCTCTGGACGCGCAGGCTCAGTGGCCATGGCTCACGGGCCCAGCCGCTCTGTGGCATGTGGGATCTTCCTAGACCGGGGCACGAACCCGTGTCCCCTGCATCGGCAGGCGGACTCTCAACCACTGCGCCACCAGGGAAGCCCAGCTCCCCTGTTTTGAGTGGGGGAAACAGGCCAGCCAGAGCCAGAGGCGGTCCTGCCTCCTCGCAGGAAACTCTCCTGCCCTGCCCTGCACTGCCCTGCCCTGCAGGGAGAGAAGACAGGCGCCAGCTGCTGGCTGCCCACTGGGGCCCTCACAGCTGGGGGCCAGGCTGACTCAGACCTGACACCCCTGGCTGAGGGGCCAGTTTCCCGGAGGGGGCGGGGCAGGCTTGCTTTTTGGTTCTGAGAGAAGGGCCAGCGGCAGCACAGACACTGCTGTGGAGGCCTGTGAAGGTTCGACCTGGGAGCCCTCTGGGGCCTGAGGCCCCTGCAGCCCCCCGAGGCCCCGCACTGGCCCGGGGCAGTCATGGGTAGGGGGACATGGTGGGGGCGGGGAAGCAGGGGGGACATCAGAGTGACTGTCCTCCACAGACTGTGGCCTTGCAGACTGCTCAACCCCGCTTGGGGTCCTGTGGGACTCCCACCCACGGCAGCCTCTTGCTTCTTCTCCGCCTCGGTGAGTCATGAGGGCGGGTTGCCGCAAAACGCTGGTGTGCAGAGAGCACAGAGGGCAGCCAAGGGTCCTCAGGGGGTCGGGGCCTTAGGAAAGGCTCTACCTGCTCTACACATCCTCTCCGGCTGCGGGCAGTGCCCCCCAGCCCCTTCCCGGGCAGGTGTCCCGAGTCCTGGGCAGGTGCCCCTGATTCCAGAGAAGTGTCCTGAATCTCGGCAGGTGCCTTGAGTCCCAGGCAGGCTGTTAGCCTTGTCTCTGCCCCCAGAGATGACTGTGTCTGGCACCCCCGCTGCACCACAGTGCCCTATGGGGTTGGAGGCAGAGGCAGGGTGGTGATGGGGGCACAGGCCAAACTGAGGGTGCCCATGGGACAGGTTTCTGCCTGCCCTGAGCCGAGGGGCCCCAGGAGGAGGATGTGGGAGGCCTGTGCTCCCTGCTTCGGTGTCGTGGGCCGTGACACCATAGGGTGAGGGGCCTAACCCTCTGCTTCCACACCCATGGAGTGTGCACGGGGCTGGAAGGGGCCGGCTTTGCCTCCTTCCTACCCTGGGTGGAGCCCCTGCCATCCCTTCGAGCCTGGTGTCCCTTCCCCTGCAGGGTGGGTGCTACTTTCCAGGGCCCAGGCTGCAGACACGGAACTGGTAAGGCCCCTCTGGGGAATCAGGGGAGGGTTTTCTGGCCCTGGGTGGGGGTCCTTGGAAGCCAGGACACTCGCGGCTCAGTCCCAGCCCTGCTCTGTTCTCAGGGTGTCATGACCCCATGGCTGCAACGGGACCTGTCCTGGCAGCGGCCTGAGGTGACTGTCATCCTTCTGAGGGCCCAGCGGTGCACAGAGACTGAGCACGGTGCCCAGCTGCGTGGGGAGACTGGGATGGGGAGCTAGCATTGTGAGGTCTTACCTGTCCACACCTGCAGCCCTTCCTAGCCACTCAACTCATTCAATCATGACAATGCAGGAGAGTGAACAAAATTGCTCCATTTTGCTGATGGGTAAACTGAAGCCTGGAGAGTCACGTGGTGCCCAGTGTCTCAGCGTGGGTGCAGAAGGAAGAGGAGGTTGACAGGTGATGTCCAGTCCCCAACCCACTGCCTGCCCCTGCAGAGAAGGCCTGCCCCCCGGGGCGGAAGGCCCAAGTGTTGGACGAAAACTTTGTCTTCTACGAGGAGTGGGAGCTGGAGGCTTGTGTGGACAGAGCCCTGCTGGCCGCTCAGATGGACCAGGTGAACCTGGTGCCCTTCACCTACCAGCAGCTGCACATTTTCAAGCGCAAATTGGATGAGGTAGTTCAGGACTCCCGCCTGCCTGCTGTAGCACAGTTTTCCCAGCTGCCCGGGGAGTGGCGGCGGCCGTCACAGTCCCTTCACCCGGAAGTTCTACCCACAGGGGTACCCTGAGTCCCTGATCCAGCACCTGAGGTACTTCTTCCTTTGGGTGACCCCCGAGGACATCCACAAGTGGAATGTGACTTCCCTGGAGACCGTGAAATCTCTGCTCAAAGTCAGCAAAGGGCATGGGATGGATGCTCAGGTGACTGGCTGCGGAGGTGGGGAGGGGAAGGCACAGGGTTTGAGGTTGGGCAGGCCTGGGGGGCACAGAGTGTGAGGTGGTACAGGCCTGGGGGTTGCACAGGGTGTGAGGTTGTGCAGGCCCCAGGGGATATGTCTCTCCCTGCTCCACGCCACTGAGTGGCCTCCTCCCACAGGTGGCCGCCCTCATTGCCCGCTATGTAGGGGGAGGGGGCCAGCTGGACAAGGCCACACTGGACACCCTGGCCACCTTCCCCGCTACCTACCTGTGCCTCCTCAGCCCTGAGCAGCTGGGCTTCATGCAGCTCAACGTTGTTTGGTGAGTCCTGGGGTCTGTCAGGTGTGGTGGGTGTGCTGTGCTCTGAGCTCACTGCCCGGCCTTATGCTGCCTCCTCAGGGTGACCAGGCCCCAGGACCTGGACACATGCAGCCCATGGCAGATGGCTGTCCTCTACCCCAAGGCCCGCATCGCCTTCCAGAACATGAGCGGGTCTGAATACTTCACAAGGATCAAGCCCTACCTGGGTGAGCCTGGGAGGACGTGGGGGGCGTGATCCCTGAGGCTCCCCCTCTCATTGGGCAGCCCGCTGGTGGTGTGACTGGTGGTCAATGTGCCCTCCATCCCTCCAAGTGTGTGTAGGCTGAGACCCTGTGAGTTCTGGGCACCCCCAGCCTATCTTCCAACCCAGAGGGTCAGGTGGTCACCAGGCAAACCAGGGTCCCAGGAATTTCTTAGGAAAAGGGACTCTTGGTAAAGGAATTGGCTTCTGGTAGCCTGTTGTCAGAGGGTGAGACTGGGGGTTGCTGCAAGGTCTCACACTTGGGGGCCCCTCTCCCCGTGGGCAGGTGGGGCCCCCATGGAGGACCTGCGGGTTCTCAGTCAGCAGAACATAAACATGGATGTGGCCACATTCAAGAAGCTGCAGAGAGAGGCTGTGCTGGTAGGGCCATGGAGAAGGGCAGGGCCTCTGGTGTGGGGGGGTCTCAGGAGAGGCAGCCAAAGCCCCCTCCAAAGTCTGGAAGGGCCAAGGCAGGGTCTGTGGGTGGGGCAGCATGGGATGGTTTGGACACAGTAGAGGACAGCAGCCTTCTGGGGAAAGGCAGGCAGACCCTGAGCCCTGTCTGGGGGCTTTGGCAGCCGCTGACCATTGCTGAGGTGCAGAAACTTTTGGGTGCAAACCTGGTGGGCCTGAAGGCTAAGGAGGGGAACAGCCCACTGCGGGACTGGATCTCCCGGCAGTCGCAGGAGGACCTGGACAGTCTGGGGCTGGGGCTCCATGGCGGCACCCCCAACGGCTACCTGGTCCTGGACTTCAACGTCCGAGGTGGGCTGGGGTGGCCAGCTGGGTGGTGTCGGGCAGAGTGAGGGGCAGGGTCTGAGTCACCTCTTCTCTGTGCAGAGGACTCCTCCGGAGGCCCTCACCTCCTCAGACTAGGACCTGGACCTGTGCTCACTGTGACCCCAAGTCGGCTCCTGGCCTTGATCCTGAACTGAGCCCACTGCTATGCTCTGGGAACTGGGCCCTGCCATGGAGACACCACCTGGCTGGGAGTAGGCCTGGATGGTCTCTGTCTGACCCCGAGGGCACCAGAGCTCAATAAAAGAAGCCCCATCCCCCCTTGAAGAGGTGCCCTGTGGTGTTCTGAGAACTGGGTGGGAGGGCCCTGATGGCTGTGGCCCAGTTGACAGGGTTCCCTGGGTTTCAGCCCTCCTCTTTGCACTTGGAAAGGGGAGGGACTCCAGGCAGGGGCGCCCTCAGGGCCTTCCTGATGCTGTTTCCATTGTTGGGTCTCCCCCCAGGCCAGGCCAACACTCAGGGTGGCTTCTGGTGACACTGCTGCCCCAAGAGATGGCAGGCTGGAGTCCTGATCCTAGTTAAGAGAGTCTCTGTCCCTCCTCAGGCCCAGAGCAAAGGGACACAGGCAGGAAGATCACCTTGTCCTTTTTCAAATCAATCAGCGAAGTCAGTCCGCGGAAACCCCTCCCCAACCCCAGTTCTTCATCTGGAAGAAGCCAGAGGGCAGGGGCAGCATCTCCCTCACTGGCTGGGGCAGTGACCTTGGGCCCAGGTCCTCAGTCTGGCTCCAGGTCCTGGGAGCTGGGTGTGGGCAGGGACTGGCCCTGCAGGCTCCTGGGATGCGGGACGTGGCCAGGTCCCCTGGGCATGGGGCAGGCGTCTTGGTCTAGGTAGGCATCCAGCTCCACCTACCAACCCCGGTTTTCCTGCAAGTGGTGCTGGGGCAGCGCTGTCTTTGGAGGCCATGGGGCAGGTGCCCTGTGAGTGGTTCCAGCTGGGCCCCAGGGTGCTCCAATACAGCAGCCACAGGAGGCCCGACGGCAGGGCTACAGCAAGTGGCAGATACCCCAGGTGGGCTGCCTGTAGGTGGAACATGGAAGGAGCACCCTTCAGTCCAGCTGGGAGCCCCCAGGCTGTCCTGCCTCTCCCAGGCCTGGGCGGCCCCTGCGCCGGGCTCAGGGCTCACACCATCCCTGTGGGTGGGGAAGAGCAGTGAGGACCCCCATGTACAGCTGCTCTTCTGGGTCCCGATGGGGACCTCAAAACTTCCCCACTCTCCACTTTCTGCTGCTCAGCAGATTTTGGAGGAGGTGTCCCTCAGCAGGCAATGCAAGGTGAAGCCAGTGTCACCCAGATGTCACCCGAGGAGGCAGATGGAAAGAGTAGGCCAACGCTGAATGAGATTGGGCGCAAGACAAGAAGCTAGTAGCAGTTGGGGGAGGGGGGCCACACAGGGCAGAGGGAGGATGGCCCGCTGGAGTGGGGAGGGTGGGTGCAGGCCTACCTGAGCTGGGGTCAGTGCTCCAAGGCCGGTCTGAGGTGGGGACTAGATGGGGCATCCAGGGGATGGTGTTGGGGGTCCCAGTTGTCAAGTGGGTGAGGCCAGTGGGGCCGGTTGGGTCCGTGTCCAGGCCCAGCTCACCCAGGGCTGACCGACTGAGGCTGCAGAGCCAGGAGCTGATGGTGGGGTGGCTGTGAGCCTTCTGCAGGTGCCCCATGTTCCGGCCCAGCAGCGTCGTCACGTTGCCCACGCTCAGGCTCTGCGAAGGGAGCGAGGGGTCGTGGGCGGGGTCAATGCCTGGCCGGAGCGCAGGGGTGAGACCCAGCAGAACGCACCTGGAGAAGTGACCTGGGGCCCACACTGCCTGCACACCTCCGACTTTGGGGTGGGTGTTGGGGCCTGCAGACCGTAACCTAGGCATCCTCGTCTAGGCCAGCCCCACCCCCTGACGGGTAGCCCCCGGCGCACCTGCAGCACTCGGGTGTTCAGACTGGTGAAAGTGTCAATGTCCACGGAGACGTTAGCCTGGGGCAGGTGCCGCAGCTCCTCCACGGGGGCACCGCCTAGGGGCGGGGCAGCGATGAGGGGCGAGGCTTCCTGGGGCGGGGCTTCCGGGAGGCGTGCCCTACGCAGGGCGAGGTCTCACCGAGGTGGAGGGAGGCGTGAAGCTGTAGTAGGCGTCTACGGTTCTGGCGGTGCCGAAGGCCTCTCGGGCCTTGTCGTAGAGCACGTTCTTGCGGCTCTGAGGGCAGGAGGAGATGTCCAGGGCTCCGGCCAGCCTGGGTGGGGGGTGAGGCTGATGGGCAGGCCAGAGGCCCCTCCTCCTCTGGACGCTGGGCCTGGCTCCCGCTTTCTGAACCACAGCTTTCCTTTTGCTCTCCGTGCTAGGCTCAGTAGTGTCTCCTCCAAGTTCACGTCCACTCAGAACCTCAGAATGTGAGCTTATCTGGAAATAGGGTCTTTCCTAATTGTAGCTGTAATCAAATTAAGATGTGGTCATACTGATTTAGGGTGGGCCTTGAATCTAACGACTGGGGTCATAAGAAGAAGGAAACTTGGACACGGACACGGTGGGAAGCCAGCTGTGACAGAGGCAGAGATGGGGGTGATGCAGCCCCGAAGCTGGAAGAGGCAGGAAGGAGCCTCCCCTACGGGTTTCAGAGGGAGGCCAGCCCTGCTGACACCTTAACTTCAGACTTCTGGCCTCCAGACTGTGAGAGGACACATTTCTGTTGTTTTTAGCCACTCTGTTTGTAATCTTTTGTTACGGAGGCCATAGGAAGGAAGCTAATCACCTACGATGGCCTGGCCTGGGCCCCCACCAGATCCTCCCTTGGCCGAGGAGTGGAGGTGGCTCCGAGGTGTGGGGGGTGGGTTGCTGGGTGGGCTCACCAAAACTCCAAGGGCCGGATGGCCTGGATCCGGCGGGGGCTCATCCAACAGAGGCGGGAGCCCCCGTTGGCCACAAGCAGGGCACTGGTGATGGTGCCGTTGTGGTCCAGGAACTTCTGCAGGATGACCTGTGGGCAGGGTTCGGGTCTGCAAGGCCAGGGTCAGCGGGGTCCCCTGCCCACCCCCACCCCCACCCTCACCTCTGTCTGGTTCTCCAGGGCCCCGTCTGGGGCCAGGAGGGCCATGACCGTGTCCTTGGACGTGACGTGCCACTGGCCAATCTCCGCATGGGAGTAGAGGTAGGCCAGCGAGGGGATGAGCTGCAGCTGCTCCTCGGGGACGCTGCCAGGGTAGACCTGCAGTGGGAGGCAGGTGGTGGTCAGGCCACACGGCCGGCCCACCACCTGCCTCCCACTGCCGGTCGCTGGCGCACCTAAGCCAGCTTGGCCTTGACGACTTTCTGGCACTGGGTGGGCAGTGGGTGCTGCAGCAGGGGGTCCAGGTTGGCCTTGAGCACACGGCTGCCCAGGCAGGACTCGAGCTGCACGCAGTCGTAGCGCACCAGGAAGAGGCCATCGTGCAGTGTGGCTGCAGTGATGTTGCCAGGGATACAGGGTCTCCCTGTGGCAAGGTGGAGTACGGGTGTTGAGGACCCAGCTGGTCAGCACTGCTGCTGACTTTGGGCCCCACCTCACTCCTGACCTTGACCCTTCCCAAGCTTGACTCCTAGCCAAAAACTTGGCCTGGACCAGACTGACTCAACCCTGACCTTGGTCTCAACTCCCAGTCCAGCCCCACCAGACTCTGACCACTCCCCTCAACCTGGACAGAGACCCTGGGCCAAGCTCAGGAGGTCCAGGCAGAGGGTGCCATGCCTCTAGTGCCCCCACGCCGGGATGAGGAGCCCGAGCAGGGGGAGATGCAAAATCCCCAGGCCATGGTGGCCACACTGACCTGTGTCCCGCTTGGGCCATGAGGGTACCAACTTGGCCTTGGCCTCGAGGAAGCCAGTGCCAAAGCGCCTGGTATCACGCTGGCTGAGCTGCCCTGCCCGTGGCCACTATGCTGCCAAAGAAGTCTAGGCCCACGGCCTGGCGGGCGGGCCTGGAGAGTCCACACCCTGGGGAGGGCCACCAGGGCTACCTGTTCCCTCCTTCCTCCCCACAGACAGAAACTCTGTGACGGGGAGCGACTGGGGACAGCAGTTGGGCATCAGAGTGGCTGCCGGCCGACCATCAGGCCTGGGCAGGCTGGTGGAAGGTTGGCTGGATGCCCACCCACCCCGGGGTGCTGCCCTACCTCCTGTAGCTGCATCCACAGGCTGGGGCTGATGTCGGTGGCTAGGGGTCCCAGAGCCTGCAGCCCCTCCAGGTTCCAGGAGCCAGAGGGCCTGGTGTGCGAAGGGGGCTCTGTGTCGGGCCCTGAGCAGCACCCAGACCCCTCAGACCGCCTACCCTCCCTGAGTGCCATTCCCAGGGCCTGCCCAGCAGAGACTCTCCCACCCCAGGCCTCTGGGCACCTCAAACCCATACCCCATAGGCTGCAGGGTCAGAGTGGGAGCTGGGTCAGAGGTTAGAGGTCAGTGGGGCTGTGGACATTGATCTCCAGGCTGCCTCCTCTATCAGGTGGAGGAGGGGAAGCCTGGGCAGATGGCATGGGCCCCCACTCACCCGAGCTTGGTCCTGCCGCTGGCCAGCAGCCTGTTGAGGGCGGCCATCAGCTGGGGACAGCGCCGCAGGTTCTGCAGCACATGGGGGTCTGCAGCCATGATGCTGGATGCATCTGTGTCACACACCAGGACCCCAAGGAGCAGCAGGTCGGAGGTGCTGAGCCTCGGGCGGGGCCCTCCCTGCAGGCCAGCAGGCCAGCATGAGCCTGGTCCCACTGCCCGTCACCTGTCCTGTCCTGGCCTGGCCGGCCCACGGTGCCTACCAGGCAGGCCAGGGCCCTGTGCCGCAGGGTGGCCCTCTGGTCGGGCAGGTTGGCCAGCAGCCCTGTGTTGCCCTGGGCTGTGCGGCGGACGAAGGCCTGGCAGTCGGCTTCCCTCACCTGTGTCAGTCTGTGGGAAGGTTGGGGGGCTGTCAGGAGGGGGGGCAACTGGGGGGCCTCCGAGTGACTGAGGTGTCCCTGGGGAGCATGCTCAGCCCACGCGGCTGGGTGCTGGGCGGGGAGGGGCACTCATTCGTAGAGGAGCAGCAGGTTGGTGGGGTGGAGCTCGAAGTCGCCCTGGAGGCCTTGCCGGGCGGCCAGGTTGGCCAGACAGCTGAGCTGGGCAGGGCAGGCAGCGTGTCACTTCCTTGCCCGGCCGGGGGCTTGCCCAGCCCCTTTCCCTCTGCCCATCTTAGGGCCCCCCACCTACCTCTCAGCCCCCGTCCCCACGTCCACCCGTCCCCTCCTTCTGCCTGCTGGCTCTCTGTCCCTGGACTTCATGTTTTCCTCTTCCTGCCTCAACCTCCACAACGAGAACCGGCCTCAGAACGGGTCAAACCCAGCTTGAGAGCCCCCTCCCCTCTGGCATCAGGCCCTTGCCCACCCCAGCCCCCACTGCACCACATTGGCTCACTGAGGATCTGCTTATCCAATGCGCCCCTGTCTGGACGTCTTGTCCCACTTACTTGGCCTACTTTGGGGTTGTTTCAGATTTATTACTAATTTTATATTAATTTTATAATAAGACAAAATAATAGCTTTCTTTCCTTCCTTCCTTTTATTAAACTCGGGACTGGTGACGCTTGGGTCAGCTGTGGGTCCAGGTGAGCTCAGCTGGCCCCTCTCACAGCCCAGGTGGAGGAGGGGCCAGCAGGCTGGAAGATTCCTCGCCCTCGGGGAGCCCGGAGGACCTGCCACAGGTGCCAGATGGAGGCCAGGTAGGCAAGCCCTCACCAAACCAAGAACAAGAGGCAGGAGTCTGTGGGTGATTGGTGAGAAGTCCTGGAAACAGTCCAAAGTGGGCCACACTGGAACATCATCCAGGGGAGGGAAAAGCCCACCTCAGAGGCTAACTTCCTGTCTGCTGGGTGACCTGAGGGGCGCATCTTGTGTCAGCTAGAGACAATCGTGCAGCTCTCCAGCACAGGGCCCTTGTGCTCAGGAGAGCTACTCCGTGTCCTGGCACCACATTCCTGGCCCTTGCTGCCTGGGTCCTCTGCCAGGGATGCCTCCCTTCCTGCCTGTCCCCGGGGCCCTTCTCCAGGGAGTCTGCCCTTGCCCTTGACACCCAGGCAGTCTCGGCAGGGGCCGCCGCTGACCTGCCAGGCTCCGAGGAGGACAAGGTGCGTCTCCATCCTCCTGATCAGAGCGGCAAGCTGGTCCCGGGCTAGCTGACTGGCCGGCTGGCACCAGAAGCCTTGCAGGAGGGAGGTGTTGGCACTGGGCAGAAAGGAGATAGACAGTGAGGGGCAGAGGGAGTAGGGGCCCCAGACTGCAGCATTTGGGGTGGAGGTCAGACTCCTCAACACAGGGTCGGGGTGAGAGACCCAGGAGGTGTGGACAGCAAGGCTCTGGCTGTCAGCATATGCATACCACACATTTCCCCCGAGGGCGCCCTGTTGGTGCTGGACTCTGAGCTATGAGCAGGGCTTAAAAGTGGCCCCTGTCCAGACTCAGGGTCTGGTTGAGGCCCAGTTCCAGAGCTTGGGGCACTGAGGTCCCAGCGATGGCTGAGGTTTTGAAGGGCACCTGTTGGGTGACTGCAGCCAGGCCTTCCTCGTGATGTGAATCTAGTAAGATCCGTGCACAGGGGAGGGTCAGGTCTCATGAGACCTTAGCCTGGGCCCGGCTGGTCCAGCTTGGCCTCCAGCCCTGCCGGATCAGTCAACTGACTGATCAGTTGATTGATGGCAGATCAGTGGCCTCCAACCCCCACCAGGACAGAGTCTCAGTTTGGGACCTGAGAGGGCAGCAAAACTTGGGGCGGAAAGAAGAAAGCTGAGAGGCCTCAGGACAAGAAGTGATTGTCGGGACTTCCCTGGCAGTCCAGTGGTTAAGACTCCGTGCTTCCAGTGCAAGGGGTGTGGGTTTGATCCCTGGTCGGGGAACTAAGATCCCACATGCCGCATGACGCGGCACCCCCCAGAAAAAAAAAAAGTGATTGTCTGCCGGGCCGAGGTGGGGGACCCGGGCCCCAGCCAGCCGCGATGGCCTGGGGTCCTGTCCCAGCCATGTGGGTGTGACTCTGATGAAGGACACCAGCTGCCCTGAGCCATCTCCAGCGAGTGACCTGGGCAGGCAGGGCCAGGCCCCCCATATAGGAGCCGGGAGTCAGTCCTGCCCCGGCCATGCCTGGGCCGTCAAATGCAGACCCTGGAGATGGTCCCTCCTTCTCACCCCCACCCAGGCCTGCCACGGAATCTGCTGGGGAAACTTGATTGTGACTCCGAACCTGCACTCACCTGGCCCACAGGTTGGCCCTGCTGACATCCAGCCCTCCCTGGGTGGCACCCTCGGCCTGGGGATGACAGCAGTGGGCAGTGAGCGACACCAGGAAGGCGAGGCCTGGGCTCACCAGGGCACTTGGAGCAGAACAGGCCATAAGCGTCTGTGTGGGAGCGTCCAGGGTCGGTCTCCCCAGGGCTCCCTGTGTCCCGGGTGGGCCTGTGACAGCCCCAATACGGAGTCCTTGGGAGCTCCACGGTGCTGGTCACCTGTGTGCCAGCCTGGGTCTGAGCGTGCCGTGTGACCAGGTGAACATGTGTGGCAGTGTGTCTGCCTGTATACACGACTGTCTGATGCTGTATGCCTGCGCCCCTAATGGTATGTACAGTGTTGGTGGTGTATACACAAGTATGGTGGGGTGCACATGTGTGGGGTGGCATGCGTGACCACACAGTAGACCTGTGTGCCTGCTGGTGTGGCAGTGTATACATTCTGTGACGATGTGTAGCTGGTGGCATGTGACTGTGTGTCTGGAAGCATGTACACACCTATGTGATGGCCTGTATGCATGCCTACCAGTGTCCACGTGTGTGCACCTTCTCCCTCCACCCCCTGTGGCTCTGTCTTCACAGTCTGAGCCCTGAAACCCCCGAGCAGAGGGACAGGGGTCAGCTACCACCTTCTCCTGCTCCCCGGTTGCTCAGTCCCTTCTAGCCATGGCCCGCTTTGTCCCTGCCTTGTCCCCAACAGGACCCCCACCCGCAGTGCCCCATCTGTGCCACCCCTTTCCCTTCCCGGACCCCCAGTAGAGGCTCAGGAGGAAAGAGGGTGATCCTGCCACCCCGAGGAGCCGGCCATGGGAGCTGCCCCCCAAGAGGGGGAGGGAGAGTCATCTCACCTGCTCTGG